TTCAACCACTTTATTTATGATTTATATGTTTAATTATTAGTATCTTGTATTTTATATATTATTTATGATAATTAAAGTTTTTTATTATTATTATTATTATTATTATTATTATTATTATTTATATATAATATTACATTATACTACGAACTACGTTCTTATAGACCTCATATTGTAGTAACGCCTCTGGTGTTACACACGCCACTGTATTTTAAAGAACTAAATCCAGCCAGGCCTCTCTCTTATCTCATCTGCATAACACACTCATTACGTTTATCAGTGCGATAGAAGCCTGTTCGTGCCGCGAAAAAATAAACAGTGATTCATGCATAGTGTTGATAGTGTAAAATGGCGAATCGTAAAAACCAGGAAAAATTAATGGAAATTAAAGCAAATATGAGGAAGTTTCGAAATTTAAGGTTGCTCTAAATAAATGTCTTTGTTTACGCATACGTACACCAAAGTAGGTCCATTGTATTGTTACGCAGCACCCTGTAGCGTGCTGCGGTCATCATAAGTAAAGGTACGAGTCAATAAAGAAGATAGAATATTCCCGAAAAGTCTCAAAATGTCATTCCTTGTCAAAGAAAAGTCCAGATTTTCGAGAAGGTTCCAGAAGCTATATAAGGCGACGACCTGACGTCAGAGTTTTAGTTTTATGATAGACGTTAAACGTTAATGTTATCATTTTGTTCAGTTGAATTGAGTTATTGTAAAAGTTATCTTGGAGGACAATGGACAGTATCAATAGATGGAATCAAGCACCGTGGTGTCCAAGTCATGTCTTTGATAATTTTTTCGTCTTCTTCCGAGCCATCGAACTGTTGTCGAAACTGAATAACGAACATAATTTCTCTATTTACTAATAGATGGACCGATAGTCGATTCAGAATATTTTTTTTTTAAATGAGATAAACGAGTTTAATTATGCTTGATGAACATTTATTTACGATTTATCATCATTTTAGAGAATATAAACAATATTAATTTAAATTTGGCATTCTACCCAAATTTTTTTATTAATTCAAGAGTAGGTCTTAAAAATTTGGATAACATGTGACACAAGTTAGAGGGAAATATTATATAAACATCAAAGATGACTATCTTAGAAATTTCAAGTATTAACTCTAAAATAAAAGACAATTTGAATTTTTTCTCCAAAAATATGCTGCTTTAAAATGTATATCAATAATGTATTACTTTAGAATACGTCAAATGAACGGTTAAGCCGCCATTAAAAAAAAATGTCTATTTTTTAGTTTTTCTGAAATAACTCAAAAACTACACAATTTTTAACAATTTTGAAAACATACCTAAACAGTAAACAGCATGAATTTTTTCATAAATATTAAACGAAATACTAATATAGTTACTCGAATTTCGAACACACTGTAAACAATTTTTAAGTGCACTCTATTGTATACATTAATACTAAACAATATACAAAATTAAAAATTTTGAAAGAGAATTGTAGTTTTATTTATTATATTATATTAAGGACTTCGGACTGTCCAACGTCCAACATTGTCCAAATTTTTTTATAAATTAATAAGAGCTGGTTGCAGAAAAGCCATATGCTTTGCTCGTCATTAGGAATGATAGGAACCAAGTCACTGCTATCAGGATACAATCGAAATGTATTTGCATATATCTACACTACTTCTGGATATATAACGTGTAGAGGGTGGGTTACCCCACGGCACTTAGGCCTCACTAGGTCCATTGTGTATCCACCTAAAATGATAGGCACCTCCTAGCTCGTGAGCCAGCATACATTTAATGTAGTTGATAACGTCGCCAAGAGGTGCTTCTCTTATATCGGCCGATGCGATAGCCAATACACGCCGAAAACAAATCTTCTAATAAATGAGAGCGACTGGCAATCGTAGAGGATATGTTCAATGGTCTTATCTTTTTGTTCGCACCCCCTGATGGGTGCGGATTCTGACAGCCCCATGATATCGAGATGCTTCCGTACTTGGCAATGACCAGTCAGAATGCCTGTAATCAGACGCAGATTCTGTTTAGTCGTAGTAAAGTATTTGTTTGTTGTAGTGTTGTCAGGATAACTTAAAAGCTCCCTAGTAACTTAGCAGTTTCTTATTTCATCCCATCTTTCCTTTAATTATACAAGGGAATATTCTTTAATTAGGTCTGGCAATACCGATGTTGTCAGTTTAATATAAGGGCCAGGTCCAAAAAGTATTTGGTTGACCGCCTTCTTAGATAATGAATCAGCAATTAGGCTACCTTTCTATGTGGCTTAACCTTTGATCCATCCATCTTAAGGTGACCAAATTGTTGGATGGATACTCTTGCCAAAGCTTCGTGGCATTCTAGTACTAACCCTGAGTAAATTCGTAGCCTGTTCAGGGTAAGTAGTGTTTATCTGCTCTCTGTATAGATGAGCATGTTCCTACCAGTGATATTGTTTCTAATTATTTCTTTTGCTGCTATGAGAACTTCCGTGATCTCCGTGAACTACATTCGCATTATTGCTCACATCCCATTTTATGTTGAGGTTTAAGGAATTGGAGTATATTCCACATCTTGAGCATTGTTTTGTTGTAGAACCGTCGGTGTAGATATGAATCGTACCTGCCACTTCCAGATCTTCTATTTGTTTTGTTATAACTTCATATGGCTTATGGAAGATATATCTCGGTGAGATGAAGTTCATGTTCGCTTGAAGCAGTGGGAGCGTATCTAGCGCATCCTGCCAAATCCTACATTAGGTTCTATTCCAACCGTGCGGAGGCATGTCATTGTCGTCAGAGCAACCTCCTTGATGTAAATATCAAGGGAGTGAGACTAAGAATGACTTTTATGGCTTTAGTCGGAGTTGTTTTCATGGCTCCTGTTATGATGAGACATGCTGTTATTTGAATTTGTTCTATTTTGCGGATAGCTGTCAATTTTTGGATTTTCGGTACCCAGGCAACTGCAACGTATATTAGCATAGGTCACGGCCATGTTAGTCCATGTGACGACTCTGGGGGACAAACCCCAGGTGCGCCCTACGGTTCGGTAGAATTGTTTATAAGTAATGCATGCTCTTTTGAAGTGTGAGTTAACTTGTTGTCAAAGGTGCTACCTAGGTACTTCATCTCTGTTACAAAGTTGTGTTTCGTGTTTTGGAGCTCTGTAGGTTTTAATTTCATTTTTATCCTTTTCTTTGTGAAAAGGATTATTTCTGTCTTCTTGGGATTGATAGACAGTGAATGGTCCTTGCACTACTGTTCCATAATTTTTCTCAAAATTCCCTATTTGCAGAATGACCAAGTCATTTGCTTTCGGTATTGTTTATTGTACCTACTGAGTTATTTCGTTATTAAAATAATCTATTTGACATATGGTTTGTTCCAACACGCGCAAAAACCGTAATATTATCGTACAAATCGTGCGCTCTACCCAAAAATTGTATAGAGCGCATGATTTGTACGGTAATAATACAGTTTTCGCACGTGTTGGAACAGACCTAATATGAACATAGTAAAAATGTGTTATCTCTCATTGTTGCTTTAGTATGTGTTTAATTTTAATGAACCAAACGACAAAAATTGATTAATTTTCATACGTTTCCCAGTGTATTAAGTTCCCTTGCTTTGGTACATACGAAAAGTCATTCAGTTTCGCTTCTTGGGTAGGTATTCTTTGATAATAGCAGATAGGCCACCACTGCATAAAGTTATATAATATTAATATCGCTATCAAATAATCAGTATCTCTCTTTCTAATGAAGGCTTTCTCACTCGTTTTAGAATTCTCAGCAGTAGCGTATCGTAAAACAATTTCGCTGGGTCATTTTAAATGCGAAAATGTTGACCAAGTAGAATATAAAATAAAATGTTTTAAAAGGTAGGTAGGTGCATTTTTAAAGAAGTGAAAACAAAATATGACTTTTTTATTATGAATATAATATTAATAACAATTACTTTCAACACCACAACACGAACAAATTTAAATTAAACACTGGAATAATTGTCTGAGAAAAGCTTTGTCAAACTGACAAATACAAACAAAGAGATAGAGATATTAATCTATTTCTCTCTAATTAGAATTCTCGACCATATTATCATGGCGACACAAACATTGTTTACTGTCCTCTCTTTACTACTTACTTACTCTGAGGTTTTAACGCTGATGAATAGGGAATTCTAGTTTTATGTTAAGATGACTATTTAGAAACTAGAAAAAAAATTGACAGACGTGTAGATATCTGTTCCAACAACGATCAGAAATGAATCATGGATGTCAGGATTCGGTGTAGTAGATTATCGGGACCGCTACATTATATAATGCGCAGAATTCTGACACCAGTGATTCGTTTCTGAGTTTGTTCTGTGATATCCTGTGGATGTATTGGATATGCACAAAAGATATTCTGTGGATATCTCTGGGATTTGGTGTGTTGTCTGGGTTACGGTTAGTAGTCGGCTAATATCGTACCATACCCTAAAAAGCAACTATTCGTTACATGAGTATTAGTTTTTCGAGAAGATTTGAAGTAACCAGTACCGATACAAAATGTAAACAGTTACTACGATTACTTTTGAATGCCTACCTATATCCTTTGATGAATAGGGTACGCACATGCGTTTTTAACCTCATAAATTATACTTTAAATAAAGACCCTAAAAATAGTTATTCTGATTTTTAACCCTGCTAAGAATATGTGCCATACAACTCAATTTTATGGTTCCTTGTAAACCCCGTCTTCACACGGTGTAAAACAAAAATACGGCATTTCTGTTATTTTAAAATGGTTCCGAAACATATGTAGTGCCTGTAATTAAATTTTATAAAAACAATAAAAACGACCACAGTGAACTTTTTATTTATATAAAGTTTCATTTATGTTCTTTGTACTTAATAAAAAATATTGTGTGTGCTATATTATAAATTATACAAATTTTTTGCTATCGTCAATGGAGCAATTTAATTAGCGTATTTAATTTATAACATTGAAACAGAAACGTATCAAATATGTTATTTCTAACTGACGTGAATATTAAGGATGGTCAAATGAAACACGAAATAATAAACAGTCATTTAAATATTTTTGTTTTCAACCGTTGTGCTCTACCTAAGTTATGATATTTACGGTGGATGAAACCGTAGAAGCAGAAAATCGAAAAAATGGAATTATATTAAAAATGCCTGACAACAACTATAAATGTGATTCACAAAAACCAAAAGGCATTTTGGCGAAAACGCACATATATTTTAAGGAGTACTGTAATAGTACCACTATTCATGGATTCAAGTATTTTACTGAATCTAGATCTTTATGTGAAAGGTACGTATTTTATTTTTTGTAATTTGGTTACATGTCGATTCGGTGGCCTCTCTACCTCTACAATTGGACTATAGTTTAACCATCTATACTCTATCCAAATCCAATCTAATCTACAATAATTAATTATGTATTGCATATCTCTTTCACAACTTTTTTTTAGCCTCGAGAGAAATATCTTTTTTCTTTGATGTTCTTAGTGTAGAAAGATGCTAGGGTGTGTGATCTTTTACTTTTCCCTAACTCAGATTTCATGGCGATAAATAGCATTTTTGTATCCGTTTTGGACTTTGAACCGTAGTTAGCGTAGATTTCAACAATGGTCTCCATTACTTCGCATTCGCCATTCCTAAACATCCTGGCACCACATTGACTTCAACGAATGGAAAATGGCTACATACATTAGTTGGAGTACGTGGGTAGGCATTAGGTTAGAGAGCTACAAATTCTAAGGCTTGTTTTTTTTTTGGTGTAATCGGCATCAAGTGCTACGGTTATTAGCCTCGTGTTCTGTTAAGGCGTTGTTATTGTTTCCCAGCGCCACTTTAGGGACAGCACTGTTAATTAAAACCCAACAGTGAATGGTCGAGTGGGGAATCCTAGCAAGGCATCAGAATTAATTTTAAATAATTAAATTAAATGAAAAAATCCCAGCCAACGGTGGGATTCGAACCTGGGACTCATGGATCCGCAGGCAGAGACTCTACCACTGAGCCACCCACCCCGTTCCTACAGCTTGTTATTTGAAAAATATACTAAGTGGCAAGGATATGTGAGATGTGTGACCATTCATAAAGAAAATGACTGGAAAGGAAATTTTTTGGCTCTTTACCTAGTATTCGCTTTTTCAAATGGCCCAATTTGAAGAAAATTATTCAGATATTATCTTATATCGGTATACTATCATAGGCGGCACTATTTACCTTTATGTTTATCTATTAAAGTAATCCTTAGTAAACAGGCTGTTTTGTATGCCATTCCTCTGTTTACATCTTGAATTGAGGCCAACATAGCTGCATCAGAACAGTTGCGTATTCTCTTTAGTGGCATTTCTGCAAAATACAAAATGTCAACAGTGCATTGCTCCCACATACTTTGATTACTATACGAGGCAAGAGAGAGGTCCGACACGCCCAACATAGGGCGCGGCCATTTTGAACCCTGTGACACAGTTTACAACTAAAGAATCAGATCGCTCACTTTGCGTTGGCACTTTGGATCTCAATGTTTCAGTTTATACACTGTGCAACTCGGATAATACAATATATGACAACCGCCTATAATAAAATAGCAGTCTTCTGCGTATCCTGAATTTGTATCCCTGGAATGGATTTTATTTTGGAACTTTCAACTGGTCCGAGTGAGCTAACTGATTCTTTAGCAATAAACTGTGACTTCAAAAATAATATTCACTGACACTGACAGCAGCAAGCAAAATATCAGGTGCGTTTTAATCATCAGCTACTGCTTCCGGAATTTTCGGTTTAGTCGTTTTAACCTGTCAGATTAAAACAAGAAAACCGACAATTCCGAAGCAGAAGCGGATGATTAAAACGCACCTATTAAAAATATTGCGCCAAGATGTAGGCAACAAGTAATAAGGGTTCAAAATGGCGGAGTTTTCTATTTCCTTTAAAAGGCACTCAGAAAGCTGCGCAGTGCGACCATTCTCCGTATAGTAAAAGAAAATCAAAGTATGTGATTGCTCCAATATTTGACACCAGTGTCGAACATAGGAACGACACAAGATATCTTAAAGTTTTCGGTACCAATGGATTTCATAATGATTTGTCTATTGCTTCACACATTAAAACTTAAAATTTAACGTGTTTCCTAAATTGGACACCTTTGTCGAGTTAAGGACCACCATGATGTGCAATACTCAAAAGTCGACACCCACGTCACAATATATCCCCTATAGTAATGTAACTGGGATTCAAGAAATGGCTTTGAGTTACGCTGCGGCCAGACACAGATCCCATGGCGCTAGTATCGTTATTGATTTTTGACATCGGCACGTACATTGGTTGACGACGAATTCAAAACAATCTGATCGGAGCGTTACTCACTCCCACTCCTTCTCTTTGTTTAGATACTTATAAAAGAAGGAGATACCAGTTAATAATTCCTATTTCAAATCATCTTTCATTCTTTAGCATTGAGTTTTTATAAGTGAAGCGTGAAGTGTCAGTGTTGACAAGTGATAATTTTTCGATATTTTTTGTGCTACGAAATTCTTGCGATTTAATTAATAATAATTTTGTTTCAGCGATATTTATTGTTATTGTGCTTTGTGTTATTGTATTGTTTTATTGCTGTATTAATTGCTTACATTTAATATGGAAAACAAACATACAACAAACTCAAAAAAAATGTTGTGTCGGCGGTTGTACCGATAAAACAAGTAGTCAATGGGGTCTATTCTGTAACAATTCCTTTATATTTAACGGCCTTTAAAAATATTTTCTTCTTTACTTCTGTCATTATTTAAACGGATCTTTAAAATACATTAGAGGACTATCTTAAAGAAATCTAAAGGCCGTTAAATATAAAGGAATTGTTACAGAATAGACCCCAATATCGTTTCCCTCACCGCAGTAAATATTTTGATATTTTTCAGGAATGGCTGAAGGTTCTTAACAGTGAGGTAATAACAAATATGACTCCAGAAATTATATACAAAAACCTTCGAGTGTGTGGAAGTCATTTTAAGGTGGATGATCAACTTGAAACCCTATCATCAATTTTCCAGTGGGAACAGCCTTTTAAATTCAAGTATAATAATTTTATGTTTCAGTTTTTCTCTTGTTTTTGGTGTAGGTTTGTAATAATTTTTATTTTTCAGTAAATAACCTCTAATATTCTAATTTTATGAAGATCTTATGCTTTCCTATGGGCACGATTCAAGGAGGGAGTCCTACAGCTGTCATCCAAGGGTCCCCGCCCTAGATAATACTTTTCCAGTGGGAAAAGCCATTAAAATTTAAGTATAACAACTTTCTGTTTCAGTGTTCATCTTCTTTTAATATAGGTGCCAATTTTGACATTAGTGTTTAATAATTTTTCATATTCTTAAATTAATAACCTCTAATATTCTAATTTTATGAAAATCTTATGCTTTTCTATGGGCACGATTCAAGGAGGCAGTCCTATGGCTGTCATCCAAGGGTCTCCACCCTAGATAATAATTTTCCAGTGAGAACAGCCTTTTAAATTCAAGTATAATAATTTACTGTTTCAGTTTTTCTCCTTTTTTGAAGTAGGTGAACGTTACTACACATTTTTATTTCACTTGTTGATTTTAGCATGTATATAAAGTATCGGCTATTGAACACTTTTCAATACGCTTTGCTAGCATTGAAGCGAAAACTAAAGAGTTAGCATTAGTGCGATCAGGAAACGAATAATATGAATGTTGCCTTGTGTACTGTGTAATATAAACAGGCACATGGCGAGATACATCCCCACGCAGCTGGCTGGCTACGTTCATAGTATTCCATTCCTGCTTGCACTAATGCTAACTCTTTGTAGTTTTTACTTAGACATTAGCATAACGTATTGTAAAACATTCAATATCCGACACTGTATATCACAAACATCTCTTAATAACTAAGGAATTATTTTATTTAATATAGTGTTTCCTCTTTTTTTCAGTAAAATGGATATGGATAGAGTTATCCTCGACTTTAAAATATATTAAATAAGTTTTATAATTTTTCAAATAAAATATTTTATATTATTTTTTTTTATACACCAAAGCCAATTTTTTTTTCAGATATAGCCTCTAGGTAAAAAGTGATTCAGGTAAAATTGAAAAGTATATTACATGTTCTTTTAAATGTGTTGTTAATCCAAACGCTGCTCTTATTGTAATAGCTAAAAATAAAAAAAAATCGTATTATTTTTAGCATTCAGAATAAAAATAGCGCCCGGATTTACAGCTCGTTTAATGGAACATGCAATATAATTCTCAATTATTATTACCGAATGAATATATTTCAAAATTCCTGCCATTCCGCGGCTGAAAATTTACGATTTTGGCGGGAAATTTAAATTTCGCCTTAAAATATATTTGAATTTACCGCCATATCGAGTTAGTTGAGTGGCCAGACGCATACGCATTTTTGGGCTGCAAACTTAGTGCCAACTCTTTAACAAGTGAGATGCACTACTATAGGGGATATATTGTGACCCACGCTATACCCATATTTTTCTAAACGTCTAATGAATTGGCGCGATTTTTAAAGTTACAGGAAGCGTCTCAGATATTTCTCGAATATAGACTAATGTTATGCCAGAGCAGAAACGTTTAAATATTCATCCATTACTTGTTTTTTGAGTTTGTGTCGACATTTGGAACTATGTCTACGATTGGCGCATTTACCTTACATTTTTTTCATTAATGTTGTTATATCTTGTTTTAAAATCATGCAATTTATATTCATATTGTTTTTAAATTGATATCTACTAAAAAATTATATTTTTTTCCAGGTTGTTATGGTTAATATTGGTATTATTTTCCTTATTAGCTTGTATATACCTTATAGTCCAAACATACGTCCAATTTCAGCAAAGTCCAGTTATTGTTACTTTTGCTACAGCAGATACGCCGATCTATACCATTCCTTTCCCAGCCATTACAATATGTCCACAGTCAAAAGCAAGAAGTAATTTATTTAATTTCACTGATGTTAGATATAAAATCATGAAAAATCAAACCAGTCAAGTTTCTCTGAAAGCGTAAGATTATTAAATTAATTCCAAAACAATTCTTTAATTAAATTTTGTTTAGCTTATAAAGGGTGCCTATTGAAATGCTCTAATGTGGTTATCTTAAATAGTAACACAATGACATAAAATCAAACCCGGTTTCGGCTCCCGAATCATCGTTAGGTCTAAGAATAAACAATTGAAATCCATATGTACTTGAAGCTCTTAAGAAGAACATTAAACAATAATTATTTATTGTGGTTACTACCAAGAACCCTCTTTAGAAGAAAAGTTAGATATGCATATGGGAAAACACAAAAGGAGATTATTATTTAAGTATTTAAAGCCGAGACATGTAAACAATTTAAACTTGGATATATGCTACTAGTGAAGAAGTATCTCTTTATCGTCACACAGGTAGGAGATAGGAATGCAATGATGTAATCAAATATTACCTCTTTGATGTAAGAGTAGAAGAAAAAGGTATATTAGATTAGATTTAATTAGGACTATGGGCCATGTGGCCTCCCCCACCTCGACCTTTTCAGATCTATTGTGGTTATCCTTTAATAATTTTTTAGAGTACCTTGTCTAATTCGGTCTTCTTTAGTAGACTCCATAGACTAGGAAGTAGTTTTCCGGTATAGCTAGTTACCCTTGGTTTTTCTTCTCCAAGTGTAAGGAATCTCAGTCTTGCTAAACCTTTGCAGTAGCACAATACGTGTTCTGTCGTTTCTTCCTCTTCTTGACATAATCGGTACAAGGTCTCTTCTGTCAGATCGACATTGTACATATGTTTGTTAAGCTTACAATACCCTGTTAATAGACCTACTAGTACTCTAGTATTTTTTCTATTAAGGCTTAGTAGATGATCGGTGAGTTTAGGCAATGGTCCTTTTAAGAACTCTTTGGCCTGTCTCTGTCCTGGTGAGTTTTTCTACCACTCCTTTTAAACTTCCACTACTTTGTGCATGTTCTGATTGTTGTTTTTGTTACACCACAGAAGCGTTCTGGGCCAATAAGAGCATTTGAGGCTCCTTCTCGGGCTAGTAAATCAGCCTCTTCATTGCCCTTATGTCCCCTTTGGCCTGGTACCCAGGCTACGGTTAGTCTGTTTTGACTACCCAGCTCTGCTAGGGCTTCCAAACAGTCCCACACAAGCTTTGAGTGTACCTGCATGAAACTGAGTGCTTTTAACGTCGCTTGACTGTCTGAGTATATGACAATGGTTTTTCCAATTTACCTTCTGTCTTAATACTTCTTTTGCGCATTGATGTATTGCTGCTATTTCTGCCTGGAATACTGTCGCATGTTTACCCAAGCTCAGTTTGAGATTCTTGTCTTTGGCTTGGTACTATATATACCTACTCCTAAACCTTCATGGGTTTTGGAGCCGTCTATATACCAGGTGAAATATGCTTGAATAGGAGGTCCTCCCGTCCACGCTTCCCTGTCTGGTATACTTATTTTATATTGCTTTTGAAAGCTATACTTTGGGAGCATTTCGTCTGAAGGCATTCCCATTATTTGGTCGTTTTCCAACTCTTTATATAGCTCGCTGTAGTCGAGTCCATGCAAACTGCTTATGGGTGATGAACCTTTGTGCAGTCTGTATGTGACATACCGGGTTTAGCCTTAAATGAATATATGTAGTGGTGTTAGGTTTAGCATGATTTCTATAGCTGCTGTTGGAGTCATTCTCACAGCTCCCGTGGTACTCAGACATGCTTGCCTTTGAATACCATTGAGCTGTCGAATGGCTCCAGCTTGCCGAGTGTTTGGCCATCATACCACCGACCCGTAGGTTATAATCGGCCTTATGACTATGGTATATAATCATAGGGACATTTTCGGTTGTAGTCCCCAATTTTTTCCGCACAACCTTCGACATAAGTTGAAAGATATGCTCTTTTGGGTAACTTTTTGCAAGTTTTGATTCCATGTTAACCTGTGGTCAAAGATGAATCATAAGTATTTGGCCTCTTGAGCAAATGGAATCTTCAGTCCTTTCAGTACTTTAGTCCCGTTAGTACTTTTCGTTTTGTAAAGTTGATTATTGTGGTTTTGTGAGGGTTTACTGTAAGTTCCTTCTTTCTGCACCACTCGTCAACAATGTTTAGAGCGGTTTGTGTGCGCTCCGATATTGTACCTGCGAACTTGCCTCTTACTACGATCGCCAGGTTATCGGCATATCCTAGGCAGTAAAAGTTTGCAGATATTAGCCTCTATGTAAGTTCGTCCAGTAGGACTGACCAGAGAAGGGGTGAAAGTACTCCTCCCTGTGGGCATCCCCTGCCTGCTTTAGCTGTCAGTGCAGCTTCGCCTAGAGATGATCTTATACCCCTTTCTTCTAGGCTTTTATCCACTGACATAGGACTACTGGTACCCCTTTTATTGCTAATGCGTTAATTATAGATCTTGTTTGAGCATTACTAAAAGCTCTCTCAATATCTACGAAAGTTGCTTTTGCCATTTCTTTATGCTCCAGGGATTTTGACAATAGCCTGTTAAGATCATTCAGGGCCAAATTGGTTGACTTGCCTATCTATTAGTCTTTCTAGCGTTTTCAGCATGAATAACGATGGAATGATTGGGCGGTACGACTTTGGTGTCATATCAATAAACCTTCCTACTTTAGGAAGGTATATGACTTTCACCTTTTGCTACGCCTTTTGTATATGTCGCCAGGCTATACATGCTTTAAATATGCGACACATATGTAGAATTAAAGTTCCCTTTTGTAGTAGAATGGGATATATTCCTGGGGATTTGTATGGTTTAAATTTGTTAGTAGCCCATCTAATTTTGTTCGGCCTCGATATTTTTGTAGCTAGCCTCCATTCTAAAGAAGTTGGCCTACGAAACCTTCTTTAAAGGCTAATTGCTACTATTGGGCCTAGCAAAATTTTTGCGACCGGAAAGTGTACTTCTGTGAGCATTGTTAACGTTTCTCCGAAGTTTTTTGTATAGGTTTCATCATCTTTCCTGAGAAATCCTACTTGGTTTGCAGCACCCTCTTTAGCTAAGACTTTGTGGTAACCTGGCTTGTGGCTGCACTTTGCGAACCTTACCTGTGTTATCTCTGTGGGGATTTTGTCGTGGGCCTCGGAGATCGAGTCTTGAAATTTAAATAGTCTCTCTGGACTCATTTTGATCTCCGGGTACCCTATTTCTATCACTGCAACCTTCACTGAGGTAAGGGCCTCTTTGAATGAAACTTCGTCCGTCCTGGCCTTCTTCCTTAGTCGGCTGACCTGTGGCGGTGTTGCGTCTGTCGCAATTAAACTAATTAGTACTTTACTATTTCGGTAAGGGAAAATTCTATATACGGTCGCAGAGAGCGCGAGGAGGCAGGTTTGTGAAAGAACTGCTTTCAGGACCGAAATCCGAGGCCCTATACAGAGTTTACTTAAATTAGTGATTCGGAAGTAAATGAAAAGAAATAAAAATAATAAAACTAATACCCGAGGTAGCCCATTATCCCAGTTCAAGCTGATCGTCATCACGAGCCCGCTCAGACAGGGAAATAAAACTATTTAAGATTAATTTTAAAAAACATGGCTTCTTATGGGAATTTTACATAATTTTGTCAAAATAATAAAAATAACTTAATTTACAAATAAAGCACAGAATATACTGTTGTATTTATATTTAAATAAATCTCGCATGTTTTAATTGATAAATTATTTAATTTGATGTATATAAAATGCAGTTTAGGTAGGTATGACCTAATTCGAAGATTTGTTTTTTTTTTTTTTTTTTTTTTGGCTTGGGCACTTGCCATTCAGCCAGTCGCGGAATAAATTATATAAGTTTAAATTGCATTATCACTCTAAATACATCCATTCAATCATACACACTTACACACTTTTGTCCTAAGCAAGAAAAGAAGAAAAATATATAACAGAAGATAAGGCAAGCAAGGAATAAACAAAGGAAAACATTTCTTCTTGTCTAGGGGCCCGTCAACGAAGATTTGTTAAATGGTGAAAGTGCAACTTTGTGTCTAATTTTTTTGAATTATACCTAAATATAGTGGTTAAGGTGATTACAGCACCCCCTTATAATTTTCGGACAAGGATATCTCAAAAAGTCATTTTTTTAGAAAATTTAAATTTGGACAAAATAAATTAGGCAATAATATCTAGAATATGCATATTTTTTAAAGTTTTAATTCCTACCAGTTTCCGAGAAAAAAATCAAAGGGCTTTAAATTTTGAAATATCATAATGAAAATAAATGCATTCCTCAACAGCAGTATTCCTAATATAATCCCCAAATTTAAGCTCTTAATCTATTGTTAATAATTTTTTTAAATTCGCCGAAATTAGTGGCTAAAACGCCTCGTTAAGTGCTTCTTTCTAGTGTAACGCGTCTGCAACTATCGTATCGTACACTCTGAGTCATCATTCGTTTCTTGCAATGATTTACACTAGTTTACACCCGTTTAAACCAGAAAATAGTACTTAACAAGGCGTTTTAGCCACTAATTTCGGCGAATTTTAAAAAATCATTAACAAAAGATTAAGGGCTTAAATTTAGGGATTATATTAAGAATAGTGCTGTTGAGGAATGCATTTATTTTCATTATGATATTTCAAAATTTAAAGCCCTTTGATTTTTTTTCTCGGAAACTGGAGGAAATTAAAATTTTAAAATATATACATGTTTTAGATATTATTGCCTAATATATTTTGCCAAAATTTTAATTTTTTAAAAAAGTTACTTTTTGAGATATCCTTGTTTGAAAATTATAAGGGGGTGCTGTAATCACCTTAAGAGCAAAATAAAACACAGTTAATAGATTTTTTTTTATTAATATAATACAAGCATAAAGGGAGATTTGGGAATGTATATGATATTGTCACATCCTTTAGTTTCCAGTACTATCCGTAAAAAGGATCTCGTAATATTTGAAAATATCTTCTAAACAGTGTAGAACAGCAATATATCTAGAAAGTGCCTTATTTGCCCTAGGACCGATATATATGCTGCCGCTATTCTAAGCGTTTAGGATTTTATAAAAAACATTTAACAATGACAAAATTGGGGTTCAATAAAAAAATAATAGCAGCAACTTTTTATCTAACATTAAAACTCTATAAAAAACAAATTTTCATTTCTAGTAAGTTAAACTTAATGTATAATTATTGTTGTTTGTAAGTCAGGTTCTATGACTGTAAAATTTTAATCTTATAAAAACTTGTAATAAAATAAACTACACTCCGTGATACGAGTTTATTTATTTATTTATATATATTAACGGGACATTCCCCTTTTAGTTAAATACAATGTTATGTAGTATTACACAGTATAATTTCGAATAATAAAATAAGGTTACAAATTAAATAATACAAACAATACTTAAAATAGATAAAATACAAATAATTCTACAGTACAGTTAATTAAAAGTACATTTATAAAAAAATAAGTAAAAATACACCTTCATTAAATACCATTACAATAGATTACACTAAACTGCACCCCTAAGAGTCTCCATAAATGAGCTGACGGAGCTAAAGAAATCGAGGTCAGCACGGTAGATATTTGCAAACCTAGCAGAACGAACCATGTAGGTATTCGCTGAGCAGGTTGTCCTGGATGGGACGTGAATTCCTATCTCTTGCAACAATTGAGGACACGATTTTCGTGAATTAAATATGTCATGTAACATTATGAGATCTTTTTTGTTTCGACGGCTCTTAATAAATTGGATATTCAAATATGTCTCCAATTTAGAGTAGTTGATATCTTCGATTCCAATTCCCTGCCACATAACGTAATAACTTATGCTGGACTCTTTCTAATTTAACAATATGTGAGACATACTTTGGGGACCAAACACACGAAGCGTATTCTAAATGGGTTCTGACTAAAGAACAATATAATATTTTGTTTGTTGATGTTTGTGAAATCCTGAGTAGTTCTTTTTAGAAATCCTAACATCTAAAGAGATTTGTTGAAAATATTTGAAATATGTGGAACAAAAGATAATTGTGAGTCAAAGTTGACCCCTAGGTCTCTAATAATATTGCAGTTCTCCAGGATATTGGCATTGATTGTATATTGAAAATTAATTGTATCACGAGTTCGATGGAATATGATAACATAACATTTATCCGAATTTAGGCTCATTTCATTTAAGTCACACCAATTGACTAAGTTTTCTAAATCAGACTGCAGTGACATATAGTAAAGGTCAGATGATACTGTAGAGTACAGTTTGAGATCATCGGCAAATAAAAGGAATTTGCCAAAATGAAAACAGGATTTAATATCTTTTACAAATATATTATAAAGTAGTGGTCCTAGATGTGAGCCCTGCGGGACGCCTGAAGGTACGTGTATGCCGTATGACTTGTAGTTTGAATTATTTACAATTTGACGTCTATCAATTAAATAGCTTTCTAACCAATTTAAAAGTGATCCATTTAACCCAGCCATTTTAATTTGTGGATTAAAAGGCTTTGGAGAAATCAGTATAAATTGAATGCACTTCATATCCATTTTCAAGGGCATTTGACAGGTAGTGGGAATATGTTAATAAATTTAATTCTTTTGAACTTTTACGTCTAAAGCCAAATTATTGATCTATGAGTGAAGATGTTAAAGGTTCGCAAACCAGATTTTCAAATAATTTTGGTATAGTACTCAAGATATTGATTCCTCGATAGTTCTTTACTTCGGATTTGTTGCCAGATTTAAAAATTGGTGTTATATAAATAGTCTTCCACACTGTTGGAAATATGCCAAGAGAGAGAGAGAGAGAAGTTAAAAATTATGAACTGTGGTCGTGCTAAAATAAAAGAACATGGTTTTAGAATAGTTGGAGGAATTTTATCCGGGCCAGGACACTTACAAATATCTAAAGCTGCTAGTTTAGTATAAACATTGGATATTTTAATATCACAGTTAAATATATTTATGTTGTTGACATATACCGATACCTTTGAAATATTACAATCATTATGAACATATACTTTTGAAAAAAAATCAGCAAACAAATTAACTATATCATTACCACTAGAACTTGTTATGGCCATTACATAATAATTCACTAGGAAAGTTTGAGGTTTTTCTTTTATCATTTACAAATTTCCAAAACTTTTTTAAGTTATTTGGTATTAAAGATTCTGTTTGAGAAATATAATTCTGATGCGATTCTTTTACCAGTCTTTCACAGAGTGATCTAAGTCTTGCAAACTCTTGATAATCTTGTGATAAATTATTTATTTTGTAATTTTGATGAGCTCTTTTTTTAGTTATTATACAGTTTCTCAGTTCTGTGGAATACCATCTAGGAAATGTTGTGTTACAGAATTTTTTCAGTGGTACATATAGATCAATAGCTAAATATAGAATATTATAAAATATTTACCATGTTTTCAAGAGTTTGATTAAAATACTTTTTCCCAAATAAAACTGCTTAAAAATATTATGATTGACCTAGTATCTGCCGATTTAAAATCTCTATAAAAACCTTCAGGCATTAAACCAGCTTGTGACTAGTTTACAAAAAATATTATATATAGACATAAATACATTATTTTAGTTACATTAGAAGCTTTAAAAATTCATTGAATTGATTTCTTCTTTTGTTTTCTTTAGTTTTACATGATATTTGTACCCTGTTTTACAATCTGGAATGAAGTAAATCTTGCTTTAATGTTTTTTGTCACTTATGTTACTTGTACTCAGATACTTTTTTACATAATTTTGATTTTTTCACCATTTTTAAAAAAATCACTTCATTTAACATTGATTTACATAGAAAATGAACGTCAGTGACGTTCGACCTGCCAACTACAGTCAATTTAGCGAATTTTATAAAAGGACAGACATTTGAAATTTGATCATTGCCGATTCGCCTCCTTCTATCTCGTCTTCATAGTCATCTAATTTTTCTCCCCATAAGGGTTCTTCGTAGCAGTGTCGGATTGGGCCATTGGTTTACCGGTAACTTCGGAAATAGCATCAGTGTGTAAAAGAGACCTTTTTTGCACTTCAAAGAATCGGCACAAGAAAAAAAGATTGATAAGTAGGCCCTTCTTCCTCCTGATCCGGTAGACCCTGGAGGTCCCAATTTAACACTGCTTGGTAGTAACCACAATTATAAACCTGATGATGGCTCTAGGGCCAAAACCGATTGTCATACAACCTTTTAATAATACAGAGTTTTTATGTGAAATTAATTTTGAGTCATTGTCGTAATACTAAATTTTGTTTGTAGAAGACGTTACGCAAAATATATGCATCTAGTGTGTCGACCAGGAGTTAATCTCTTCTATGATCGGTCAACTTTAACCGAAGATATGTTTGAAGCTCTTGATGAGGTATGCTTTCCAGGAGACTAAATGGTTTTTTATATAATTGCAAATTTTACAGCTTTCACATTTTTATAAATACGACAATATTGTAGGTACCACTATATTTCAAAAATTAGTGATTAAATTTTCTTTTTCCTTACTTGGCAAATGAGAAACTGTTAAACAATTAAAGTTGCGATATTTATTTCACTCGCATCCTGTAAATATATAATTGTATACTTTTGTTTTTAATTCAATAATACAAGAACTACCTATATAATTTTTTTTTAGTTGAAAATACCGCAATCAGAATTTATGCAAATTTGCAATTACATGAATAGGCGTTTCAAATGCAATTCTTTATTTTTTCCAATAATATTGGACGAGGGAATTTGTTATACATTCAATATTCTGGATAGAAAGGATATGTTTAATGAAAATGTGTAAGTCGATTTTAAATTATATTTGCAAGGAAAATAATAATAAAGTGTGGGTAATTATAAATTTTTACCTAGGTATTCATTTTGAGATTATAGCCCAAGAGCTCACTGCAAATTTTGACCGTCATTTGATAACGATATAAAATATGCCCTGAAGGCATCTAAAAATATTGTACTTTATCAAACGGCACCTGTGCCAACCATTATCCCGAAAAAAGTAATTAAAACAATGACACTTCCGGTGCCATAATTAGCGAGGTAACGAGATAAGAATTATGCCATTGACTAATGTGTCACCTCTTTTGCTGAGCCAAATGCTTTTGGCCTTTTTTTGTAGTAAAAATTCTCCACAAACTTCGTCACTTGATAACGAGTTAAAACAATAGGCAATCGAAAAATCATAATCTCTCATTTACAAAAAATATTCATATGTGCAGTGATTTAGCCTGAGCTAAGGCCAGTGTTGTTCCTGGATGTACAATTGTACAAAATGTTGTACAATCAGTTATGTGGTTGCACTGTTGAACGCACTTGTGAAAAGAGACGGAAATGTACAATTTAAAGTTGCAAAATATTTATGTAAAATCTGGTATATAAAATGCTTTATCATGCTTAAAAAAATCTACAATTCGTTATATCGTATATGTAGTAAAGTCAATAAAAAAATTAAATTTAAATTTGGCGTCATTTGCGACCAATCAAAATCATTTTGAAATTGGTTGGACTTTTATCCTATAAAAAAAATAATTTTATGCTTTGGAGAGTGGTAGGCCATGGGCTATCAGTGAATAAGAAGAAGATTAATTAGTGATTGTACAATCAAATGTAAAAGTGTACAATTTTGACATTGAAAGTTGTACAATTTCAAAATCCATATGAACAACACTGGCTAAGGCCTCTTTTATGCATGCATTTATTGCCGCTTGTCGCAGGGCGATAAAAATCGCGACTTTAAGTATGCACATTGTTTCTAATGTGTGCTTTCATGCAACGACGCCGATCAGCCGCTTACCGACTGTGTTGCCTCTTTCTCAAATCCTAAATCCAGTCGCCTGGAATTAGAAAATGTGTCGCGAAAAGCGTTTCAAAAGTTCGTTTATTTTAATTGTTCGACTGGTCGTTGAAATGCCTAATAGCTGCCAGTGGAAATGGTTCATTAATCTAAGAGGGTTGCAACATAGCCTTTCATCTTAGACGCTATTTTTCTTAAAAATAGTAGTCGCCAAGCCTGCCAACTTATAAAAATGTATAAGCGGTTTTTTAAAAATAATATTTTCATTGTGTTTAACATAAAATATTTAAATTCAATCCATTATTTTTGATTAACGTACTGTAGATAGACTACATCGTATGTCGCAACTCTTTAGACATACCAAACCTTAGTACTGCGTTTCAATCGTTTGGAGTGCCTAATTGTTTGATAGGTCGTTGGAATGCCTAATTCGCTAAATTAGTAATGACATAATTTTGGTTCCACTGACAATTACAGTGACAGAATTTTTTTTAAAGTGCGTTTTGTTCCCTTTATTTACCTAAATTATATTTAAACTTTCATAAATATATTTCTAAAATAAGTATATAACTTGCATCAAGTATATAATCATTTATTAACCAATAATACATACTAAACTACTTTTCATGACCTGCAAACAATATTATTTAATAAAACAATAAAAACAGTAAAAGAGTAAAAATGTATATGTCAAATATTGTTAAAAGTTTGGCTAGAATGAACAGTCAGTGGAACCGAAATTACGTCACACTTTTATGGCGTATCAGCCATTTCAAACAAATAAATTGGCAGGCTTGGCAACTGCTATTTTGAATAGACATAGCGTCCAATGTGCAAGACTACCTCCTTAGATATTCGAGACCTTCTCACTGGCAGCTATTGTTTGACAGGTTGTTGGAATGACCTAAGGTCGGTTCCAAAAGAACGATCAGAAACCAGTCATTGACACCAGGATCGTGCGCTGTATGACTTTAGCGGTCTAAATAATCTACTGCGTAGAATCTTGGTATCAATTACAGGTTTTGGATCGTTGTTGGGACAGACCTCTAATTTACAATAAAAAAACATCTTAGCCTTTTTTCACGGCGCAATTTTCTAGTGATCTTCGGGATACCAACCTGACAAATTCTGAAATCTGGGTATATTTTGTTTTCTTCTTCCAAATATTTTAGTTGGCAGCATTGTTTAAATTGGCAATATATCACAACCAATTTACACCCTATAAACAAAGAATAGAAAATTTTGCATAAATGTTTTTTAAAGTCAAATTTCAGCCTTTGAATATAGTAAAAAAACACTTAATTTTTACTTCAAGGCAAGAGCTTACTTATGTTTATTTTTATTAATGTATGGATGATCAATCTATATAGTTACATACCCAGACAGTACCAATACTTCCATTCGATATAAAATTTTGGATGTCTGGACGTCCAAAAATTAGCTTTTTCTGGAATTCCAACTTCCAATGGACGTCCAGTGAAGTATACAAATGGCACACTTTTGACCATTCAGTGGACGTCCAATTTTGGATTATATTTGGACGTTGAATACGGGACATTTAAAAAAACTTTCATTCCTGGATTATATTTCATTGGGACCACATTCTCCTGTTTTTACACAACCGCAAGTCATTACACACTCTTTTATATTATTAATTAAATATTTATTATTTTTGCAACCCGTTATACACCATTTTTTTTAAATCGCTTGGCCTGAAGAGGGGTCGAACTCTCTACACGCTCATTTTCGTTTTAGGCTTCCAACCACTAAACGATCTCGACCAAGGAGCCACTTGAAAACTTTTTAATAGATATGGTTGTTATAATAGAATATTATTTCAAACTTCCACTGATATAATGAAATGCAAAAGATATTTGTCAATTTTTAATGACAAATTAAATTAAAAAAAAAAGAAAGTGTATATAAATGGATATAATATGGTAGCACAAACACATTTCGGAAATATTCCAAAAAAATTGGAACATTTGTAATGTTGTATAAATATTACGAAACATCCCAGAAACATTTCTGAAATGTGCCTGAAACAGAAACATGTCATGTAAATATTATATTTCACAGTAATATTTCTGAAATGAAAATTTGAAAATTTTTAGAAATATTAAATAGTAATATTTCAGAAATGTATTCTAGTTTTTTATCTAAAATATTAAAGGACTAAGGAAAAGACATTTATAAATATACATGTTTATTTAAAATACACAAAACTCAAACATTGATTCCTAAACAAACAAACAAACAAACAAACAAACAAACAAGTAAATAAATAAATAATTTTTAAACATTATTTCATAAAATATAAAGGAGAATCGCTTTCTTTCCACAAATTCCTTTAAATGGACTAATATAAAACAAATAGATTTTTTTTTAATAAATGCCCCAAGTAAAGAAACATTTACGATTATTAAAATCTAATCATTAAGATCAATTAGCAATTTTATTCTATCTGAGGATGAAAAACTTCATAAACTTAGATTCTACTCACTAGTTTACTTTAAGAGTCTAATTATTTAGTTACACTTCCGTTAACGTACCGCACTTTACTCTGCTTTAATCTAACATCACTAAACTAACTCAAAATGTTTGGTTCTCTTAAGTCTTCTTATTAGATTGGCATTGTTACTGGATAATCTCAAGATTTCCATGTTCGAGCAGTCGTTGTTGGTGACTACTAGCAAATTTTTTTATTGTATTTTTCAACAGTCTCCACTTTAAGGACCCTATGAAGATCAGTATTGCGGCAGTACCAGAGTGCGTACTTTATTGCGAAAACTTTGAATAACTTGGATGTTACTTTTACTGGCACAGCCCCAAAGCTGGCGAATGGCGTCAATCCCTCCAATTCATTTAAATGCACTAATGTGAAACAAATTATAGGTAATTAAAAAGGATTTATACAAATTATTTGATTAACAATAGTTTTATTAATATGGTTTTATATTAACTATAATAAAACAAACAATACTCATGCCTAAACAAAACATGAAGCTCGGCTTTTCAATCAACTGTAGAACTAATAAATAAAACTGGTGTAGGGACAGCAAATGTAGATTCTATTTAAAAACAAAATGGCGTCACTCGTCTCAGAGAAGAGATAAATAAACCTAACCTAAAGAAGCATTATTTCTGTAGTACTCACCTCAATTTCTAAAGACATATTCTGCTTCCCATATAACAACAGCACAACGCATAAATAACAAAGGAAATGACAAAAACCGACAACTCAAATCTATAACACAGGCCTGCGTTTAAATACTCTGTAAAATGTGAATTGAACTTTTCAACTGAAATTGGGTATTTTAGTGACGCTGATTTCAAATCTGCTTTTAGTTTTTTTCTATCACGTAAGGTTTTTAAACAAAATACTACAAGAATGCAAAAAATTAAAATATACATATTTATAGATACTTAGGATAAAAAAGAAAATAATAAAACAAGAAAACAAACAATAAAACCGGGGAATTAGTTAAAAAATAACATACATTAATCCTTTGTTTTCTTGAAAAATCTTTCTTTCTTTCCGGAAAAGCTTCTTTTTGTTGTTTTTCGTGCATATTCTGCGGTAGGACGGTCCCTATTAAGCATCCAACAGTAGTCGGCCATCATTTTGATATCCCAGCGCCCTTGATATCGCCGTTCCATCTCTTTTATGTCCTGGTGAAAGCGCTCCCCTTGCTCTTCACTGACATCGCCAAGATTATCCAGAAAAAAATCAAGATGAGCATGTAGAAAATGAATTTTTAAGCTCATGTTACAGCCTAACTTTCTAAATTCGTCCAACATATTTTCAACAATACTTTCAATTTCAGGGTCTTTGTAGTATCCTAGAAACTTATTTATAACTTGTTTAAAAGCTGCCTATGCTTCTTTTTCGTCTTCCTGCATAACCGTCTCAATTTCATTAGTTTTTATCAACCTTCTTATTTGTGGCCCAACAAAGATGCCTTCTTTTAATTTAGCTTCAGAGAGACCCGGAAATGTTTCACACAAGTACTTAAAGCAATCACCATTTTTGTCTATAGCTTTGACAAATTCTTTCATCAGCCCCAATTTTATATGTAGAGGGGGTAAAACAATTTTTTCCGGATCAACTAGGCTTTCCCGAATTACGTTTTTGGAGCCAGGCGTTAAATTTTTTCTTGGTGGCCAGTTTTTTTTTTGGTCCAGTGAACATCTCTTGCTCTACTGTCCCACTCACATAAGAAACATGGGTATTTCGTATATCCGGATTGTTGACCTAAAAGCAACCCTAAAATTTTAAGGTCACCACATAGAATATAGTTATGTTGTCTGTAGTTTCTTCTTAAAAGCAGTACCTCAAGATTTTCGTAATTTTCTTTTAGCTGAGTAGAATGACCAACAGGAACAGTTGCATATAAATATTGACATTATGAAGTAGAACAGCTTTAAGACTTCTCTTTGAAGAGTCTATAAAAAGTCTCCACTCGGCAGGATTGTATTCAGGAGCACCTAGGTGAATAACCAAGTCAGATACATTTTGACAATATACAAGTGAACCAGCTGCAGCAAAGTAATTGACAAATTCAGCCTCGCGATTTCTATACCAGTAAAATGTACCTGGAGCAAGTAATTTTTTTTTCTTTAAGCCTTGATCCTAAAACCTCAGAGAGATCTTTTGGAAGTACCAAATTCCTGACTAAGTCATTCAGTTCTACTTGAGAAAATAGCTGCGGTTCACGGGTTCCTGAGGTAGATGGCTCAAAAATGTCAATTTCTGAATCTGTTGAAGATTCTGATTTGATAGACTGTAATACTTTAGGTGGAACAGGTACAGGTATATCAGCGTCATGTGGAACTGGTCTTATTGCAGACGAAAGATTAGGATAGTTAATATACTTTAGAGATTTTGTGTTATGACCTTTAATATCACAAAGACAAAAATAGCAGTCGTCAATGTGATTTTTAGGTTCTCTCTAGACCATTGGTATTCCAAACGGTAGGGCTTTTCTTGTTTCTTTAAACCAATGCCTCAAGGCTTCTTCGCAAATCTTGCAGATAACATGTGACGCCCGAGGTTTATCTTGATCTCCAAGTCTGACTTTAAAATATGCAAAATATGCATTTTTTTACGAAATCAGTAATGTTTCTTTTAAACTTCTTCACTATAAAGTGTCCACAAATATAACAAAAGTCATCAGGCCTATTTTTACAACACCTACTAGACATTTTTTTAATAGAAAGTGCACAACGAAACACCGATAGAATTCGATAGACAACGCCTGTCTCAATACCACGGGGATACTAAATATATCGCCCTCTTTCCTGAATAAATCGAGTCTCGGGGAATCTCCAACAATATTCTAGTAAGTACCGGTAAATCCCCTTACAAATGCGCAAATTAAAACGAGGTTTTAACGCGTCTCAACGTTTTGAACAAAAATAAGGAATTCAAATTAATTTGTTTGTGATGTTCAGGGATAATACCCTTCATACTAGTTTACAAAAAAAGTTTACGTGATAGAATAAAAAGGGGGTTATTTTAGTTATATAGAAGTTGTAAATAGGTGAAAAAAAAAATAAAATGGCTAGATCACAAAATTTTCGCGGGCTTGTGTAATTATTTAAAATATAGGGTTGTCTCTAACTGGACATATGATGAAATAAAATAACTACTAAAATAACCCATCGTCTTCTTACAAATCAGAAATTCTTTATTAAGTGTTGGCCTTTTACAACACACCCGTTTAGTAACCTTTTGTGTAACATGTATACAATGTTTTAGAAACATTTTCAGTGAAACGTTTAACTAAAATATTTCAAAAATATTTTAGAAACTTGTGCTTGAAATGTTATATGTTTGAAACGTTTAAAATATTTCTGAAACACTTCTGAAATAATGTGTGCTGTATGGGTAAATAATAACCTAAGATGGACGTCTATTGAACGTCAAAATACTACTAAACTTAAAATTAAGTCCTTTGGACTATGTGTGCTATCTGGTTATATATATTATTGAACCTGGTCAAAACAATTTTATTTGGATTTTGGAACTCTTAACTCTTAACTCTTCTCTTACAAAATATAGCAGCAAATTTGCAACAATCTTGCGCTGTGAAAAGCGGCCTTAAAATATATCATTCTTCTAGAACAGTGAGACCTTTAACTTTTCATTCTTCACCAAGTACTTTTTTTAGTTTGTAAAGAATACGTGTAAAAATAATATGTTGCATCGTGGTCTATTAAATTAGTTCTTTTTGTATGATATTAATATTTTCTTTTTTATTATTTTTCTCTCAGAACTGTACTCTCACAATTTTTTTAATATTTCGTAGAAGATATTTACATATTTATATTGGAGACGTCGTACAACACCATTAAAAAAATCAAATTATATAAATTTCATTTTTTATTTTTCACTTGTAGTTAGAACAGATGGAAATTTCCTTCCATTGAATTTACTCTAGTTTTGCAGCAAACGCGAAAATTAGGTTCGATTTTCTCTTATTTTATTTACAATTTTTGCAGGGTGCATTTTAAGAATTATCACCTCCTGAATAAGAGTATTGTAGGATGGGACCTGGATAAAGGATATCAGGCTATCAATGAACTTTATTTCAATTACCCAGTTAGGGCTCTCATGTCTGGAGCTGAAAATTCTATGACTATAGGGTTATTTCAAAATTCTTCAAATAATGATCACTTTTGTAACACAGATGCGCAAGGGTTTAGGGTAAGTAAAACAAACTTGTAAAAATGTATTAGATGCTTATCTATTAATTTTTCTAAAAATCTATAAAAAGTAGGTTTTTTTATGTTTGGTCTCTGTGGCGGTCAAAAAAACATCATCCTGTAGGTTATATTCAAACTAGTCAGCTTACCTAAGAATTTCCGAAATGATAGGTGCTTGTAAAGTACCAATAAAATAGCAATTCAAATATCATAATTTATTATAATACTGGCAGAACACCCAACGGGGGTTTTTCCCGGGTAAGGCTGGCTAGTTTCGAGGGCACTGCAGGTAGACCGAGAAAAAACCAAAAACTAATAGACAGTTCCTTACTGACTTTGGCCGCGGCATAACATTACATGACTTTGTAAAATAAAATTACATTACTTTGTGAAATAAAATTAAATGCAATTATTAAATTAGTAAAATTAATAATATTGTTTCTGTCACCAAACAATCTCTCAGTCTCACTGTTGAAAAATTTTTTTATTCGAATGTGTCAAAAAACAATCAAAAAATAGAACTTTTCTATATATTTCCTTCGCGTGCAATCACACGCTGTATATAAGCTACAGTCAGGGAGTTCGAACTGGTGTTATCACTAATCAAATTAGAAATAGGACCTACTCTGTAAAACTTTACAATTCAAACAATGTTTTGGCTAGAAATAGACAATTTCTTGTACCAATACCTGTTAATGTTAATACTGATCGTCAAGAGGAAAGAATTTCTGTAGATTGCTCTAAGGATTCAATTGGTGGTGTGTTATTACAGTCTGGACGACCAGTTACATATATGTCAAAAGCACTAACTTTAACTCAACATAACTACGCTCAAATAGAGAAAGAATTACTTGGAATTTTGGTGGCATGTGAAAAATTCCACAATTATGTATATGGCACAAAATTTGACATAGAAACTGACCATAAGCCGTTAATTTCTATCATAAGAAAGCCGTTATTGAACACGCCGCCAAGACTTCAACGTATGTTATTCAAATTGCAGAAATATGACTTCAATCTTTATTACAAAAAAGGTAAAGAGCTGTATATAGCAGATACATTATCCAGATGCAGTAGTGAGAAACCAGAATTAAAAAACAATCTGGACTTTGATTTAGATTCACAAATTTGTCTAGTAAAACTTTTATTTAATGTAACTGAAGATCAAATAGAAAGAATTAGAAAAGAAACAAAAAATGACAAAGAACTGGATTCGTTGAGGATATTCCTAAGAACTGGTTAAACTATTGACAGGTTGACTAATACTCAAAAATGTTTCTATAAAATAAAAGATGAACTTTGTTAGTCTGAGGGTATATTCTTAAGAAATAATAGAATTGTTATACCTACGACAATGTATAATGAAATGTTATCTAGAATTCATTATGGCCATCAAGGTATGGTAAAATGTAAAACTTTAGCAAGACAATCATTATATTGGCCATCCATGACAGTACATATTGATAACATGATAAAAAATTGCACAACTTGCTCTAAGTTTTCAAATTTTCACAGAGATCCCTTAATGCCTCATAATACTCCAAATTTACCTTGGAAAGAAGTAGGATCAGATTTTTTTTATAGGCAACGACTCTTACCTAATAGCTATTGATTACTACAGTAAATTTTCAGAAATATGCTTGTTGAAAGATACTACCAGCCAAACAGTAATTAGTAATTTAAAGTCAATATTCGCTCGTCATGGCATCCCAAAGATTTTTTACTCGGATGGCGGTACACAGTATACATCTTACGAATTTGAAACTTTTTGTAGGGAGTGGGAAATTAAAAGTATAAAATCTAGCCCGGAGAACCACAGATCAAATGGATTGAGTGAGATATACATTCAAACATATAAAAAAGCACTTCAAAAATCTTTTAGCGATCACAAAGATATCTACCTAACATTACTGCAACTCAGAAATACTCCCATTGATAACAATATGCCTTCTCCTGCTCAACTTTTGATGTCAAGGGTTCTCAGATCTAATATCTTCACCTTTAAAAAACTACTGAAACCAAAAGCACATAATGTGATCCACATTTTTAACTATCATGAAAAAATAAAAAACATTCAAAAGCAATATTATGACAGAGGTGCTATTAAACAAACTCCCTTAAAACAAAATCAAAAGGTCTATATAAGCTACAGTCAGGGAGTTCGAACTGGTGTTATCACTAATCAAATTATAAATAGGACCTACTCTCTAAAACTTGACAATTCAAACAATGTTTCGGCTAGAAATAGACAATTTCTTGTACCAATACCTGTTAATGTTAATACTGATCGTCAAGAGGAAAGAATTAATATCTCTGAAGACAGTAATAACAGTTACACGGAGGAGCAAGATTCATGTGAAAACTTAAATAAAGCTTCTCCAGAGAAAACAACTTCCTGCGGACGTTCAGTAAAACCACCAAAGCGATTAAATTTATAATTGTATACAAAATAAGTTGTTCGGCTGGATGATTTAATTTATTCTCTTTATTTTTGTAGTTTAGATTAGAATTGTTGTTTTTGTTACGAAAAAAAAAAAACGACGGGGATGTCATATATGGTATGTATTATCACTAAAATATGCCTAAGCGGTTGGCAACAATGTCAATTATGATAGGAGGAAATAAAGACAAGAGGACACTTCACGTCCAGCCGCTGAGCTGTATGTAGTTGTTTTATTTACGAACCTAACCTATCACACACGCGAAGTATTTCGCGTTCTCAACACAGTCCGCGAAATTAAATTTCGCGTCCGTTACCCAAAGCAACGGTAGCCAAAACAAACATCACTTATTATTAGTTTTTTATTGAACACATAATTAATTTTTAAATTCGTATATGCGCCAACTTTTGTTTATCTCCGAGGAGCCGTACCATGATGCAAGCGCAAGCTAAAAAATAAAAGAAAGGTTCTTACCGCTCTATGAAGGTTGAATGATGTGTTTTGTCCACATATCAAATACCGGAAAAATAAATTTCACGTTTCTCCAGGGTGGCTGCCACGGGGATTATTTCCAAAGGGAGACTTGCTCCCCCGGGCCCCCCGTAGTCGGCGCCTATGACCCCTGGCTATATATTTTTTTCCATTGTAAAACAGTAATCCACAATCCACATGCATATCAAATTTGAATACAAGCATTTTTAATTGATTAAGAGAAACACTATACATAAACTATAATTAAATTGATTTGTCATAAACACACTGACTTGAGATTTGTTCAATTGTTATCAAGTTAAATAGTTAAATGTATTGAATATTAAATAAGTTGTCTCTGTTTTTGTTTTGTTATCTAATTAATATTGACTATCAATATTAACTTATTTTTATGATTTTTTTTTTGGAAACACCTATTTTTTAAAAAAGAATGTGATCGTAGAAAAGTTCGTTGCCGCTTTTGACAAATTTCCGCTCTTAATACACAAATTGCTATTGTTTCTTTTTTAGGTTTTATTACATGCACCTTATACATTACCGAGGTTAAGAAGACAATTCTTTAATGTTGGTTTTGAAAGGTCTGTAATAGCTACTGTTCGCCCTAGAGCGATGACTACATCGGGAACAGTTCAACAGTTTGATTCAAGTATTCGAAAATGTTATTTTTCTACAGAGAAGAAACTGAAATTTTTTAAAATATATTCACCACAGAATTGTAAATTGGAATGTCTCACAAATTATACAAGGAAAGCATGTGGATGCGTCGAGTATTTTATGCCCAGTACGTTGAGTTGAAATACCTACCTATATTAATAACATAACTTTTCTTTACTGTTCTACAAATAAAGGTATTTCCATTATTTATTCTTTTTTGCTTCAAATGGAAACTTTTTATAATGATTGATCCAGAAAATATATTTCTAAAGTAAGTCATGACCCACAAAGACTGTCATTTAAAAAAGGAAAAGAATCGTATAATATGTTATTCCGATTTCCGTGATTTTTTTCATGGCCCATTTTAGAAACATTTTTTGACTCGTGTGAACTTAGCAGACCAAACTTGGCAGCCAAAATGGCGAAGGAGCCCGAATGAACAGTGGTGTCAGTCCCAGGTTAATAAATTTTATTTTATAAATATTGCGGTAATTATTAAATAAAAAGTAGAAGCAATATCATTTTAAACAAATATAAATCATGAAATAGATATTAATCCAGATATAAGAAAATTTGTATTCAAGAGAAATAAAAAATTGGTCTGTTTAAGATTAACAAACAAAATAAGTCCAAAACAAGACATACTATCAATTTGATATTTTAACACGATTTAATCTATTCATAAGCCTCACTAACAAAGTTACTGTCAATATATCGCAAGCCGTCAAAAAGTAGGAAAAAATTAAAAGAATTTAAAAAAAAAACTGTTAAAATAAAACGTCTGCCAACAAAATATCTAAAATAACTCCATAACTAGTCATACTATTTTAAAAAGAATAATTCTATACATATCCGTATATAAAAGTGGTACTGCCAATTCATCGCAAGTCGTCAAAGAGTAGGAAAAAATTAATATAATATAAAAAAACTGTAAAAATAAAACGTCTGTCAACAAACTGTCTACAATACCTCCATAACTAGACATACTATCAAGTTCATATTTTTAAAAACATAAGTCTTGACATATTCATATGTAATAGTGGTACTGTCCATTCATCGCAAGCTGTCAAAGAGTAGGAAAAAAATTAAAAGAATAAAAAACTCTAAAGATAAAGTCTGCTAACAAATTATCTACAATACCTCCATAACTAGACATACTATCAAGTTTATTTTTTAAAAGGAATTGGTCTATACATATCTATATGTAATAGTGGTACTGTCAATTCATCGCAAGCCGTCAAAGAGTAGAAAAAATTAATGATTTTAAAAAACGGCAAAAATAAAAAGTCTGACAACAAACTACAATAACCCCATAACTAGACATACTATCAAGTTCATATTTTAAAAATAATAATGTATGAGAACGTATTCTTTAAGATATGAACTTAATAGTTTGTCTAGTTATCGAGTTATTGTACATAGTTTGTTGACAAAAGTTTAATTTTTAGTTTTGTTTTATACTTTATTTTTTTTTTACTCTTTGACGGCTTGCGATGAATTAACAGTAACACTATTACATATAGATATGTATAGACTTATTCTTTTTAAAATATGAACTTGATAGTATGTCTACTTATGGAGTTAATGTACAAAATTTGTTGACAAACGTCTCATTTTTGTAGTGTTATTTTTATTTTGATTTTTTTCTTACTCTTTAACGGCTTGCGATGAATTATCAGGATCACTATTACATGCATATATATAGACTTAATAATTTTGAAATATGAACTTGGTAGTATGTCTAGTTATGGAGTTATTGCCCAGCAAACATTTTCTATAACATTAGTTATAACTCGATTTTGTTAAAGACGAATTTACTTATTGAGATAATGATTACGTAAAATTGACTAGAAAAATATACCTCTAATGTAAATTTACCAAACGGTTTTAATTTATATTTAGATTTACGTAAATTATACCAAGAAATCTACCTTTTACACAAATCTGCTTAAAAGTAACTTTAACCATATCAGCAAGGGAAAAACTACTAAAAAAAAAATAACCAACAATTACTTCAAAGTTAAATTTCCTTTGTAGTAAAATTAGGTGCCATATTTAGGTAATATCTACCTGTTTGGCAACTAAAAATCGTCTTTATAGTAGAATATCCAACTAGGTAGATTTGGTTAAAAATTCTACGTAATTTTATGCCTCCATAGTAACCTATTTGGCCGCTTTTATTTACTCTCCTTTAAAGTAATCGAGATCGTAGCAAAATTCTACCTGTTTATCTACCTAATTTCAACCAAATAGTCGAATACTCATTTAGTTGACCTATAAGTCATCTTGAAGAAATATTTATTAACTTTGTTGTAGCAATTACCTGAAAAATCTACCACAGAGTAAATTCGACTAAAAACCACCAATTTAAAAAGAGTCATACATGACCTATTTGTAAAATTTATATTATTTAGGTTATTTTAACAATTAGGTTGTTCAGTTACTGTCTTCGTCATTATTCTTAAGAATTTCGGCCATTTTAAAAAAACCATTACAGTCGTAATCTTAATTTACGTGTGGTGTAGATAGAGCTTTAAATGAGTGCGAAAAATAATTAATAAAATGAGTTCGAAAAATAATAAATCATATCGTTATACTTCCGATTTTTATCGTAAAGTGAAACGTCTAAAATCTCAAGTGCAGAACAACGTGACCTAAATATGTTATATTTACCTATAGGTAAATTTTTTATAAAACCTATAGGTTATTATTTTTTTAAATAGGCAAAGTTAACTAATATGTCATGAAATTGAAGTTAATTCAACTTAGTAAAAAGGTATTTGTAAAATACGTAGATTTCCTTAGTCATAATAACTTTTAGGTCGAATTCGCACAATACGCCATATTTTTTAACGTAATTGAAGTACGATTCCAAATTTTAAATTTTTAAAATGACCATAACTAGAAAATACGAATGAAAATACCGAAAAACGAAACATTATTGATTTTCTAAAGTGATACACAACAAACATAGTTTTAGCTCATAATATTATTATTTTTTTACACGAACATATTTTTTTCTTATATTTTTTTAATTAGAGAGTATTTTGGAAGGGCATTATTATTTTTCTAAGTAGAACTGTTAACATGCACGACAAAATTTTCTTCGCATTAATTTCAACAAGCGTGAACTGTATATTCACCGCAATTACATTACATATATTTTTGTCACCGACATTTATTTATTTTCAATCTTTCATGTGAATTAGGTATATGTTTTAATTGTGTTGGTGACTCCTTACAATATTTCTACTTATATATAGATAAAAATACCAAATAAGTATAAAATTTCTTTTCGTACACTTGGAGGCATACGTCATCTGCAAATATCTTGGTAGTTTCTACCTAAACTTAGTTAAATCAACGTCGAATTAACGTTATACTGACGTCAAATTTCCCTAGAGAGGTATTACTGACCAAACGTACTGGGATAGTACAACGTGGATTTAGATGTAATTCTGCCTATTTTGGTAAATAAAACCAAATTTCGACGTCGTCTTATTCTCCACTTATGTCGAATCCACGTCGAGCCAACGTAAATTTTACTTAATTATGGTTAAATCTAATTTTGCGACCAAATTTATTATATATAATTTAGGTAGTATCGACGTCAAATTACACCAAAATGTTTGCTGGGTAGATAGTTTATTAGCAGACTTTTTATCTTTAGAGTTTTTTTTTATATTCTTTTAATTTTTTCCTACTCTTTGACGGCTTGCGATGAATTGAAAGTACCACTATTACATATAGATATGTATAGACTTATTCTTTTTAAAATATGAAATTGATAGTATGTCTGGTTATGGAGTTATTGTAGATAGTTTGTTGGCAGACGTTTTATTTTTGAAGTGTTTCTATATTCTTTTAATTTTTCCTACTCTTTGACGACTTGCGATACATTGACAGTAACTTTGTTAGTAAGGCTTATAAATAGATTAAATCGTGTTAAAATATCAACGTGATAATATGTCTTGTTTTGGACTTATTGTTCTTTGGCCGCGATATATCAAAATCTTAAAAAGACCAATTTTTCATTTGTCTTAATTTTCTTAAATCTTGTTTAATATCTATTTTATGGTTTATATTTGTTTAAAATGTACTTGCCTCTACTTTTTATTTAATAATTACCGCAATATTTATTTAATAATATGTATTAACCTGGGACCGACGCCACTATTCATTCGAGTTCCTTCGCCATTTTGGATGCCAAGTTTGGTCTGCTAAGTTCACACCAGTCATTTTTTGTGGGTTTCTCCATGTTATAAAGGGTGTTACAATAGTTTGGACTGATGTTAAATGTGAATGGAGCTTACAGGTCAATTATTTTTTTAGGTTTTTGTTTTGACACATTGAATCGTAAGAAAGTTGAGTATTGAACAACGTTTTAAAGTTATTGTAGCCTATTACGAAAATGGAGGTTCAAACAAAAGTTCATTTCATGCTCTTCGAGATTTTTCGGCCAGCATAATCAACCAACTGAGAGTGCAATTCAAAATACATGGCTTCTTATGGGAATTATACATAATTTTGTCAAAATAATAAAAATAAACTTGTTTATAGCTAAATAAAGCACAGAATATACTGTTGTATTTATTTCTAAATAAGTCTTACATATTTTAATCGATACATTATTTACTATTTATTCCTATATAAGTAAAATGCAAATTATTGATAAGTGTTAAAATTTGATGGGTAGGGCTAATTATTTTTTAATTAAAGCTAAATAGGGCTGAGGGCATACTAAGACACGGTTTAAATGAAAATATTTAGTTAGGGATTTTACAAAATTTTACGAAAATAATAAAAAAATCAAATTGTTTATTGCTAACTAAAGCACAGAAAATAGTGTTGATTTTAATTATTGTAAATAAGTCTTTGTTTTAATTGCTAACTGAAGTACAGGAAATACTGTTGGTATTAATTTTAAATGAGTCTTTATGTTAAACATTATTTACTATTCATTATTTAATTTTATCTAAATAAAATGAAAATTAGGTAGTACCAAATTTGAAAAGGTTTGTTAAATGGTGAAATTTGGTGAGTACAGTTTTGTGGTAATTTTGTATTCGACAACTACAATTTCATCATCCTGGTGAATAGTTTCTTCAGCAATAGGTTTTAGTATTTTCTTCCTTTTTTTTTATTCTAAAAAATTCAGTTCGGTTCAATGGTGGTTTTCGTCTTTTCCTAATACTGGACAAGTATGAAGGGAGATTCGGGAATATACATGGTATTGCTTCGTTCTTTAATCTCAGCCTTTCCCTTTTTATTTTGTTAACAGTACCATTAGTTAAAACAGTCTCATCAAATTTTAAAATATCATCATCTAAAAAGTGTAGCTCGCAAACAGAATCATAACTAGACAGTACTTTATCAGCCCTAGGAATCACATGATGCCATTGTTCTAAACGTTTAGGATCTTATAAAATATATTTGCAATGACTAAATTGGAGTTCAATAAAGAAAAATAACAGTAGTAACTCTTCATCTAACATCAAAAAACATAAAAAAGCAAATTTTTTTTTCTAGTAAGTATAATTATTGTTGTTCGTAAGTTAGGATTTATGACTTTATTGTTTTTTATTATAGAATTTTGTAATTAAATAAACTACACTCCGTAAAATACGGGTTGTGACTATTTTACAATAAATATATATTATTTAGAAATAAATACATTATTTTACTTACACTAGGAGCTTTGAAAAGACTTGGATTTTTATATCCTTGTATTTTCTTTAATTTTAATAATCGGATTTATATCCCGTTTTTCAACCCGAAACGAAGCAAATCCTGCTTTGCCGTTTTTTGTTACTCATTGTTACTTGTAGTCAGGTTCTTTATTTTTACTAAATTTTACAAAAATCACTTTAATTCCCATTGACTTGCATAGAAAATAGACGTCGTTATTTTGCCACCCGCCAACTACAGTAGTTTTTTAGAACTCCATAAAAATAGGGATAAAAATTTAAAATTTGACCAAGGCCAATTCGCCTCCTTATCTCTTGTCTTCATAGTTGTGCACTATTTCAAATTTTAGATGTCCTATTTATAAATTGTTTTTGGTTACGCCATGCATGTGGGTTTAATAAGATGGCGCCACATACCACACAGTCCACGCCACAATGGCTCTACCGTATGAGAAGTTTCCCGGGAACATATTCTCCCGAAACAAGTCAATTGGCCCGAGATCTTGCGATTTGACACCGTTAGACTTCTTTTCTTACACCATCTGAAGAGTAAAGTCTATGCCAACTAGCCAACTACCATCCAACAACTCAAAGACAAATTTCATGATACATTTATAAGATTGAGGAGCAATTATGCCGATATGTTAGAAAAAAATTCGATAAGCAGATCGACGTGTGATGTCGGAGCCGCGGCGAAGATTTGGCGGGCATTATATTTCATAATTTTAATGAATCAAATAACAAATTTCTTTAAATAAATCTTCAATTTTATACACCACTGATTTTTAATTAACGTTTAACATCAATCCGTCTTATTGTAAATTTACAGTGTTTCTTCCTACTTTGTAAATAAGTTGAAGGAGTAGATCAACGCTTTGCTTTGAATCCAGCACTCAATGACATTTTTAGGTAAATTAAGAATAAATATAAATGTGTTTAAAATTTCGAGGGGTAAAATAACAATAAATTAGGGGAAATACAAAGGGCAGGTTTAAAGAGTATTATCACAAGAAAGTATATCCGTTCTGTTTATTTATCAAGTATTGTTTGAGGATACTTTTGAATACATTTATTGTTTTTTTTTTTTAATTTCTCTAGGCAGTCTATTAAATTTTTTAAACCTTTATTAAAAATTGTATTTTGGGAACTTTTAGTGATGGCTTGCCGTACATGAAAGTCAGATTGGCTTTTTGTATTATAGTTGTGATATTGCGAATTATATTGAATTTTTTCTAATAGATCTGATGCGATGGTACTGTCATTTTTATTTTATAAATAATTATCAGTCATGTACTGAACATAATTCTGAACTGAAAGCCATTTTATTTCTTTTAAGATAGTTGCAATACTCATCCTTCTGTCCTTTATTAATAGAATATAAATAGGCGTAGTAAGAAGCCCAAATATTTTACATGAGCAGGCTTAAGAGGTAAAGGGCCAATTATTATTGGATAAATTGCTCGAACAAGTTTTTAAACCCTAATCAAAAGGCGATATAGAATGGTTTTAAAAATTATGGCTTGTGAAAATCATCACATGGTTTAACTTAAGTAATGCCAGTGCTTCACAACCCAAAAAATTCAACGTGCTAATACTACTATCGCCTTTCGGTATTTCGTTCCAAGTTAAATCATTTCTCGTTTTTGTTATGCTACGAGTTTACCCTTGTGAGCCTCAGTCTCGATAAGGTAGGAACCACCATTTTAGCGTCTCTCGAATTATAATATATGATAACAAACATAAAGCATTGATTATGACCTTTAAATTGTTTGAATAAAAATTAGTGTATAGAGAAAGTTAGCCAAATATGGAATACTGTTTTATTTTTTGTACATATTAAATCCAGAATATCTTCTCAATACCCTGTTTTTGATGTAGGTTCTTTACACCTTTGAAAATCCTTATTTATTTTTTATAATATTAAATCTATTACGAGTATATATGAGTTATAGAGAAATATTCTATAGAAAATTGTATTTTTGTAGTTTATATGGAATATGTCCCTTATATGGAACATATTGATATAGAAACATCCAGTACAATAATTTTAGTTTCCAATAACTTTCTTCCAAATTTTACAATAAAAAATACCAAGACTCTCCAAAGGGGTTCTAAAAATTTACCAAATAATAAATACCCAAATTTAGAAACAAGTATTAGAAATTAAAAATTTAAAAAACCGACTTCAAAAACGTGCAGATGCCATTACCACATCTTAACTAAATTTATATGGGACCACCCCTGAGGTACCCCATAACTAAAAAAAGAATCCCATAAATCGGACAACATACGCTAAACATACATAAAGAATGAAGAGTTTGAGGATTTTCTCATGGACCCAATTATTAGATTTGGACCAAATTTATATGGGACCACCCCTGAAGTACCCCCTTTCTAACAAAAAAAAAACATCATTGAAATCGGACAATAAATAAAAATCTTGAACTTATCTCTTCTCACTCCTCTGCTTATTCCTTGTATACTTTTTTTCTATCATTTGTGCCTGGGTCTCTGTCTTTTTTATATCTCCTATTTGTCTGATCTATCCTGCATCTCGTCCTAGTATTTTCATATTAGTTTTAAATAAAATTCTTTTGTACCTCTTTTTTAACCGACTTCAAAAAAGGAGGAGGTTCTCAATTCTTTGCAATATTTTTTTTTATGTATGTTCAGCGATAATTCTTTAACATGGGGTGGTCCCATATAAATTTGGTCAAAATCGAATAATTGGGTCCATGAGAAAATCCTCAAATTCCTTATTTTTTATGTATGTTTAGCGATAATGCTTTACCACCTTGTCAGATTTATTATTCTTTTTTTGTTAGAAAGGGGGTACTTCAGGGGTGGTCTCATATAAATTTGGTTAAGATGTAATGATGGCATCTGCACGTTTTTGAAGTCGGTTTTTTAAATTTTTAATTTCTAATACTTGTTTTACTTCAACTTTCAACTTCTATACCAATCTTAACAATATAATTTTCATTGACCGTCTACAAAAAAGCTTTTAAGAATCCCATTGTCTCTGACAATTTTTAAAAAATTAACGACCCCGACATTCTTTTTTTCTACGTTGGATTCCTAGAAACACAACCCTTATGCATTTCCATAGAAATATGTTTCAAGGAGAAATAAAACACTTAAAAATCTTTTTATTACTTTATAATACATAAAAACAAAGCAGTCAACAAAAAAGAATTGCATCTAATTTATCGGAAGAACGCATTTAAACTCCTTTATAAAATCCAAACAAAATATATTGTTTTTTGTCTTTAAATCCACTGTATATCCCTGACGTCTTCGGAAAACTTTCCATTGCAAAAAAGAGACGGAATCGTTTTCTTGTGGACTCCAAATTGCAGATACCACACCAGTCCATATTAGGTACGTCTCCATTTTCATTTTTGTTAACACATTCACACATTACCCCTAACACTAGTTAAATTTGCTGTACAGGAATAAAGACCTTATGTTATGCCCAAACACATATTCTACATATAAAATTGGTAGTTGATAATCCCTTTGTGCACTAATTTTGTTAATACAACCTACGTTTGGATGCGAGTTGTCCAATGTTATCAAAGCTAGTTAAAATAATTTAATGATATTCCAATTTAGGAAGATTTTCCATATTTGGTTCATCTCTACCGTTGAGTAAAGGAATATTGTATACTAATGTCTTTCGCGAAGGGTTTGCTTACTTGTTAGATAATTTTTTCTTTATTTTTTATTTAAATTTTTTGGAGTTGTGCCACTCTGAAATAATAAGCAGTAATGCAATGTGTGAAGAATGCTATCGTCTCTCATTGCACTTATAGTTGGGTTGATATTGCGGGCCAATAGGAAATTTTTCAGTTGAAGATTAGGAAGTGTTTTTCTCCATTTACAAAATGCCAACTAAAGTATAAGTAGAACTTGAGAATCGGGTACTGCTTTCAATTATTTATGATAATTAGAATGTTATGTGAAATTTTGAAAAATTTGTTCTTTTGAATTTCAGGAGAGAACGAGACGTTAATATGTGGAAACATTCATCGTTATTGCGTCAGACGTGCTGAATGTAAGTAGAAAATCTGCCTTAAATATATTTTTGTTGTTTATTTTATCTTTCCAGACACCCTAAATCAAAAACAATTAGAACATGAAGTAGGATATAAAGAAAATAATAATTCTTCTTGTGATTGTAAACCACTTTGTAGTGATATTACATATGATACAGATGTTTCGTCTTCTTTTTTCGATTTAAAAGATAAAATTCAAGGGCATTGGAACCGCCGGACAAATAATCAGTAAGTAATAAGTATCTAGGTATTAGTTATTAAAACATTTTGCATATTTTAAAAGTAATTCTTAAACAGAAACATCTCACAAAGTTACATGTTAGGAAACACCGTATTAGAAACTTTAAGAGCGTACGCGACGTGGTCGTACGAGTATTTGCGACAGTTATCGAGTCCAATACCAAGCGACTAATTTTCTAGTTTCAAAATAAATATCGAGCAAGTAGCAGCTTCCTTATATTCACCAGTCGTCAGTGCGCTACCCAGGGATTCCCAAACTATTTTGGGAAAGAGACCCCTTTTCCTATATGAACTGATACCTCAGACCTCCATAGCCAAATTTCTTTAAAAATTCTATCTCTAGTTTTTTCTTATTGATATAAATTGGTAAGCAATTTAAAAACTTTGCGGTTGGTTGAGTAAATCATTTTCTCAACAAAATTTAACAAAATAAATGGACATAAAATTCAGTAAATATCAAATGTAATTTATAATTATTAATACAAATTCCGTAAAAATATTTAAGTAGGTAATTATTTTTTGAAAAATAAATATTAAAATTGCAAAGTAAAGATAAAAATAAAAAAATTCAGTGTGATGGATGAACCTGGTGACTTTATATCACTCTAGAGTTGCAGCTTCAAATCTCCGGTCTCTTTGTTTTGTCAAAATGTTTGTAACCACACTGAAGCCTTTTTCGACTAGGTATGATGATGGACAAGCGATAAGGTATTTTTCAACAATGTTCCATAATAACAGGACACTGTGTTTCAATGTTGCGCTGCAATCAGAACTTCTGAGAGTCTTGGTTGAACTTCTGCTTAAGCTCCTCGTCTGTACTGATGGTGATCAACTCTTCTTGCATTATCATATTATCTTCTTCCATGGCTGTGATATTGTACGGATTTATTATCCATTCAGGAATTTGTAAATTTAAGAGATCTTTAAATCTATAATCCTTGTGTAATGCATCCAAATGAGTGACATATGATAAAAACATCGTTTTGAAGCATTTCTGGTAATTTTGATACATACGAAAACCGTGAATAACTTTTCTGCTTAAATTTTATTTATAAAGGATAAGTTTACCCACAAAGGCCAATATTATTGATTTTGTTTTAATCATGTTGAGATCGTCAACCTGCAGCTGCAAATTAACTTTGTTAAACATACTAAAGATATCCAGTCAAGTAATAAATATTTGTTTTACAATAAATTTTCTTTCAAATTTGGATCTTTTTCTTGTAAAAACTGATAATCTTGCTAAGCAGGAGCCTCTTGATAGCCAGCGAACTTTAGCGTGCAGAAGTAACCAAGTAAAGACTTCGTCGTTTTCCTCACATAGCTGGGCAAATAACCAACAGTTCAAAGAATTGCTTATAATCTTGTTGAGAGCATTTATAACATGATGTAAAGACTGGTGCAATCTAGAACTTAGATTTTTTGCTACTAAATGCTGTTTGTGAATCACACAGTGAATGAGCAGTACCTCAGGAAGTTGTCGCTTTAAGTGAGCTATAAAACCACGATGACAATTAACTATAGATGGTGTGGTAATATTTGTATGGTTATTCTATAGTTGTCATTATGTAGTTAATGTTAGTTAATCTTGTCAAGCTAATTATCATTTTTAATTGATTAAACCTTTACAGAAGGAGTATAATTCATATCAATTTAATTAATTAATAAAATGCCTTTAACCATAATATCCTTAAGCAGCATGAATCAATCGAAGTGCATTTTGGTGGACCTAAATTTTCCTTAAACATTTGTAGTTTAACATGTGCCAATATAGAACCTGTCAGTTTATTTTCAAATTTAAGTTTAGATTGTAAGCCTATTATTACAAAATCCCGCAAACAAACAGTTGACGATGCAAAATTTATATCTGAAGAAATCAAAAAACTCATACTTGAAGGAATAATTGAACCATATTAATCTCCTTGGCGGGCACAAGTTCTCGTGACTCGAAATGAACACCATAGGAAAAGAATGGTAATAGATTATTCTTAATTAACCGTTTTACTTTTCTCGATGCTTATCCATTACCCAATATTTACAAGTTAGTTTCTGAAGTTTCGAAATTTAGCATATTTAGTACTATTGACTTGCGCAGTGCCTTTCATCAAATTCCGATTTGTAATAATGATAAAGCTTATACTGTCTTTAAAGCTGAAGGAAAGCTATATCAGTTTTGTCGTATTCCTTTTGGTGTAACCAATGGTGTTGCCTGTTTCCAAAGAGTTCTTGATCATATCATAACCACCGAAAAATCAAAGGGAGTTTTCGCTTACCATGACGACGTTACAGTTTGTGGTAACAACCAGACCGAGCACGATCAAAATCTTGATCGCCTTTTTGAGATAATTTCAAAATACAATTTTACAATTAATGAAGAAAAATGTTCCTTCTCAAAACAAACTATCAATTTGTTAGGCTAGAAAAAAATACACTTAAACCTGATCCATCAAGGTTAGAGGCTCTATTAAATTTCCCTTTACCTAACAATATTGCTTCCTTGAGACGAAGGTTAGCCATGTTCGCACATTATTCTAGATGGGTCCCTAGATTCTTAGAAAAAATATATCGTCTGGTACAGACAAAAACTCTTCCTCTTGCACCTTCAGTAGTACAAGATTTCGAAAATCTTAAATTAGAAATAGCTAAGTCAGCAGTAACTACTATACATGACAACATACCCTTTATTATAGAGACAGATGCCTCGGAACATTCAATTGCGGCTACTTTAAGTCAGGAAGGGCGGCCTGTAGCCTTTTTCTCGAGAACATCCGAAAGCGAACAACGCCACTCTTCTATTGAAAAAGAAGCCTACGCAATCGTGGGGGCTCTCAAAAGGTCATCAAAGGGCGTCATTTCCTCATCGGAAAACATTTTTGGCTTTACACTGATTAAAAGTCTATATCCTTTATGTTCAATCAAAGACACAGCAGCAAAATTAAAAATGATGATAGTATCTACCGGAGGAAGGTAGAAAATACCGTATCTGATGCCTTGTCTTTTTGAACTACATCAAGCACTCTGTCACCCAGGAGTTACAAGGATGACTCATTGAGTACGTTCTAGAAATCTACCTTATTCAATTGAGGACGATCAGAAAATGGCTTTATCATGTCCTATATGTGCCGAATTAAAACCAAAATTTGTAAAATATGATGAAGGTATTTTAATAAATACAACTTCCCCTTTTGAGAGACTCGATCTTAATTTTAAAGGACCGTTACCAACAAGTCGAAATAAATATATTTTAACTATTATAGATGAAGACTCTCGTTTCCCTTTTGCATATCCATGTCAAGATACATCTTTCAAATTTATTTTCAATTTTTGGCTTACCTTCTTGCATACATTTAGATCAGGGGGCTGCATTTATGTCTAAGGAATTAAAAACTTACTTACATTCTCATGGTATTGGGACAAGTCGATCTTCTCTTTATAACCCGCGTGGTAATGGATTAGTTGAAAGATACAACGGTATAATCTAGAAATCAGTCACACTAGTTCTTAGAACACGAGGTTTGCAGCCATCACAATGGGAAGTCATATTGGGAGATGCGTTGCACTCCATTAGATCATTGTTGTGTATATCAACAAATTGTACGCCACATGAGAGAATGTTTGCTTATACAAGAAAGTCTACTAATGGAACTTCGTTACCATCATGGCTTTTATCACCGGGTCCACTACTTTTGATAAAGTTTCACAGAAACAATAAGTACGAACCTCTGGTTGAGGAAGTATGCCTTATTAAAGCCAATCCCGAATATGCTACCATCAAAATTCAGATGGAAGAGAAACAATAGTCTCATTAAGATATCTAGCACCAAGGGGAGATTTAAACCTTACCAATAATCATAATAGTAATAATGAGGTCACAGAGTCAATTCCACAACCTTTTGAAGACACAAGTCTACAACTTCCAAATAATAACGACGAGAATCCGGAGTTAAATCTACAACCTCTTGATGAAGATGTGAATATTTTAAACGGCAGACCCGATTCTCAAGCTAAGTCGGACCGAATTTTCAAGAATCTAAAACTCCTTCCAAAACTCAGTTATTGAATGCTTCTAATGAAGAATCCTGACCTACTCGGATAAATCTAGACGAAGATCCCGACCTACTAGGATGAGTCATAGTGAAGATCCTCGACAAGATCCTCGACCCACTAGAATGAAACGATGACCGAAATATTTAGTCGATTATATTTTAAATGAATGTAGTAATATTTCTATGGTTATTCTATAGTTGTCATGATGTTATTAATGTTAGTTAATCTTGTCAAGCTAATTGTAATTTTTAATTGATTAAACCTTTACAAAAGAAGTATAATTCATTTCAGATGGTGCAACAGAAACAATGTTCTTCCATGGAATAGTTCGTCGAAAAAAAAAATTTTTCTCCTCTGGTATACGTCTCTAAATATGTAGTAAAAAGCAGTTCTTTGCATATATTTTCAAGAATAATATACCAAGACCTTGATAATAGTCAGCTATTTTTGTTGAAACTAAATTTCGAGAATATTTTAATATCAATTTGATGAGACATAATTTTAGGCGTGTTATATATGGGACGACTGTTGCACTAGACCCAATATCGACTATTTCTCTAGAGAAATAGTCGCTGCTATTTGGTCTAGGGAGATAGTCATCTTTAATATATGGAACATATCCTAACAACAGAGCTTCATTGTCGGGTAATGTAGACTCGTCCAACTGGAGAGAGACTCTGTTGGTCTGTAAGAAATTGAATTAAATGTTTTCCACTTCTCACCCATCTCGTCTGTTAATATCTGAACGGTGTTGTTGCTCTAATAGTCCAATCAAATAGACGTTTAAATCAAAATTTTGGAGGAAATACAGGAATTTTTGATATTAGTCACTTTAGAGTATTTGAAAACGATATGTAAAAAAAAATTTGTTTTTCAGGCACCGGCAAATGTCTAAAAACAAGAAAATAAAGTGTTTTTTTAAGGTTATTTAAAAACGGTAGGTGCTATAAAAAAAGTTTTCAATAAAAATTGTAAAGCATAAAGTTTTACATAAAAATGATATTTGATATTTTCTGCTATTATTAAAACTGACAGAGTTAGGGTGGTTAGAAATTAAGAGGAGATATATATGACTTGGAAAAATCATAGCAAGCTGAAAATTCAATGATTTTGTAGTTTCTTTTGATTATTTATTCAGAAAATTATAAATTTCTTTTAAAAAAAAATATTTTTTTTGTTTTTTTAAGTTATGACAATTTTAATTTAGAAATTTTCAATTAATTTTACGAATTTATATGGTAAAATAAATTATGAAGAATGAAAAATATGAGGTAAACTAATAAAAACGACATCGTGATAGTTTGGTCCCCACTTGAAGTTCCATTAAATAAATAAAAATAAAAACAAATAAAAAAGAACTTAAAAAAATTATAAAAAACTTAAAATTAAAATAAAAAGATAAATATAATTAAATAAAAATAAATAAAAAAAAATTTAAAATAAATAAAAATAATTAAAAACAAATAAAAATAATTAAAAATAAAAAAAATAAAAATAAAAACTAATTAAAAAATAAACAAAAAATTTAAATGAACAAAAAAAATAAATAAGCAAATAAAAATTAAAATTAAAAAATAATTAAAAAACAAACAAAATTTAAATAAATAAAAATAAAACAAATAGTTAAAAAAATTAATAAAAATAGGTAAATTATTCAAAATAAATGAAAAGATAAGTGTAAAAGAATTAAATAAAAATAAATAAAAATAAATAATAGTAAATAAAAATAAATAAAATTAAACAAAAATAAATGAAAAGATAAGTGTAAAAGAAAATAAATAAAAACAAATAAATTTAATTAAAAAATTAAAAAATAAATAAATACAAATGGTTAAAAAAATTAAATAAAAATAAATGAAATGATAAAAAATGTAAAAGAAAAAAAAACAAATAAAAACAAATAAAAAAAAATTAAAATAAAAAATATTTAAAAAACCAAACAAAATTTAAATAAATAAAAATATTATTTAGTTTTTCATTTATTTTTATTTAGTTTTGTTTAATTTCTATTTTTAATAAATTACCCATTGTTATTTAATTTTTTTAACTATTTGTAATTATTTTTATTTATTTTCTTTTACACTTCTCTTTTCATTTTTTGTTTAATTTTATTTATTTTTAATGTTTTCCCTAATTTCCCTAATTTTATTTAATTTTTTTAACTATTTGTTAATATTTTTATTTATTTAAATTTTTTGTTTATTTTTTTAATTATTTTTTAATTATTTTTATTTATTTATTTTTATTTTTTTAGTTTTTAAATTTTAATTATTTTTATTAATATTTATTTTTATTTATTTTTTATTATTTATTATTTCTGTTTATTTTTTTTATTTTTTTTTATTTATTTTTATTTATTTATGTTTTTATTTTTTTAGTTTTAATTATTTTTATTTATATTTTATTTATTTGTATTTATTTTTATTTATTTTCTTTTACTTTTATCTTTTTATTTATTTTTGTTTAATATTATTTATATATTTATTTTTATTTAGTTCTTTTTTATTTGTTTTAATTTTTATCTATTTGATGGAACTTCAAGTGGGGACCAAACTGTCACGATGTCGTTTTTATTAGTTCACTCCTCATATTTTTCATGTTTAAGTTTACTCCAAATTTTACCATATAAATTCGTATAATTAACTGAAAATTTCTAAATTAAAATTGTCATAACTTAAAAAAAAAATAATTTTTCTTAAAAGAAATTTATAATTTTCTAAGTAAATAATAAAAAGAAACTACAAAATCATTTAATGCTATGATTTTTCCAAGTCATATATATCTCCTCTTAATTTCTAACCACTCTAACTCTGTCAGTTTTAATAATAGCAGAAAATGTCAAATATCATTTTTATGTAAAACTGTATGAGTTACAATTTTTATTGAAAAATTCTTTTTATAGCACCTTTCGTTTTTAAATAACCTTAAAAAAAACACTCTATTTTCTTGTTTATTGCCATTTGCCGGTGCCTGAAAAACAAAATTTTTTTACATATCGTTTTCAAATACTCTAAAGTGACTTATATCAAAAATTCCTGTATTTCCTCCAAAATTTTGATTGAAAGGTCTATTTGATTGGACTATAAGTAATTCTCTTTATATTATTATCATTTGCATACTTGTACCCCCCAAGAGGTCGGTATCGAGTACTTTGGAAATCCCTAGTCTTAACTGTACAGCGAAGTCAGAAGGCCAGTAAGCGAATCCAAATGAAGTTTTTATTAATGTAATGAGTACATAATTAGTATTTTTAGATAAAAAGTATTTTTTGTACTTGCGCCCATTTTCTATAGATAGTTAAAAACAATCCAAAAATAAGCTTTACATTTGAATATTGTATCTTTTAGAAAGCACATAAAAAAATAACTTATCTTTTTTACGTTTTAGGTCACATTACGCACAGCTAAAAATATTTTTTGAACACGATTCATTTTTGGCATCCGAAAGGAATCAGATGTATGGTCCCATAGACTTTTTAGCAAATTTTGGTGGACTATTAGGACTTTTTACTGGTTTCTCACTTCTATCAGCTGTGGAACTAGTATACTTTTTAACCGTTAGAATGTGCTGCAATTTTAGATTATACAGGTCTTGGTTTGGCCAGGAACAAGATAGTGTTGCATAAATAAATTGCTTTATTCAAATTAAATGGATATTAATTAATTAGTTATATCTAAATAGTTGTTTTATGTTCATACAATTTAAACTGTTTCATTGTATTTTTAAGAATTTTGCACAATATTGTATTTTTAACGATATATACACTACATGAAAACAAATTTTAGAACAGAGTTGTAGTTTTATTTTATTGCTTGAAAATTACATCACATATACCTAGTTCTTTTTGTGTTTCTTATTCAAACATTTTCCGTTGTCAGAAACCATAAAAAAGTAAAATATTTAGGTAAGTAAAATTGCTCTCTATACGTTTCTTCAGGGAGTGCTGCGACTCTCGCCTCTCGATATGTCCTAGTCATATGTACACCGACGGTTCTAAAATAAAACAAGGCTCAAGATGTGGAATATACTCCAGATCCTTAAACCTTAACATAAAATGGGCTGTGAGCAATAGTGCCAATGTAGTTCAAACAGAGCTCATGGAGATTCTCATAGCAGCAAAAGAAATCACCAGAAACAATATCACTGGAAGGAGCATGTTCATCTGTACAGATAGCAGACAAGCACTACTCACTCTGAACAGACCACGAATTTATTCAGGGTTAGTACTAGAATGTCACGAAGTTTTGGCCGAAGTATCTATTAACAACATGGTCACCTTAAGATAGATTAAAGGTCACGCCACGGTAACCGTCTTGCTGATTCACTGGCCAAGAAAGCAGCCAACCAAATACTTTTCGCACCTGACCCTTCCATTGGCCTGACAAAATCGGTAGTGAAAAAACCTAATTAAAGAACATTCCCTTGTGAAATTCAAGGAAATATGGGATGAAACAAGACAGGGAGCTTTTAAGTTATCCTGACAACACTGCAGCAAACAAATACTTGTCTATGACTAGACAGAATCTGCGCCTAGTCACAGGCATTCTGATTGGTCATTGCCAAGTACGGAATTATCTCCATATGATGGGACTGTCAAAATCCGCACTCTGCAGAGGTTGCGAACAAGAAGATGAGACGATGAGGTTATGTACGTCGGAATCAAACCGTAACAGTCTCAGCTGTCCGAAATCATTTTAAAAGAACGTATGGTGGATTTATTTCCAGTACCACGATACGGCGGGGACTTGCTGGAGCCAATTTATGATCTAGGAGACCATTAAGAGTTACTATCCAGACATATAGCTGCTCGTCTATAGTGGGCACAGGGCGCACAGGGTCACAGACTGGCTTTTAGCTCAGAGGCGAAATTTTCTTTTTTCGAAAAAAACCAGATATGGTTTAATTAGTGATAGTCGGCGACACAGAGTTTGGAGAGGGCCAGAGCGATCAGAAAAACTTTTACTAGAGAAGTCATTTTATACCAAGGGTGATCAGTAATGTTTTGGGGAGGCATAATGCATGGTCGTCGTACGCAGCTTATTCCCATTCCAGACACTATGACAGCCGACAGATGTATTCGAAACATTATTAAACCCATTATTTATCCTCTGCGAAATAAAATTGGAGCCAATTTTATTTTCATGGATGACAATGCTAGGCCATATCGCACGATAAGGGTACAAAATGCACTAGAAATTCAAAATATTCAAAGATTATCCGGTCCGGTAAATTCGCCGGATATGAAGCCCATTGAGCACATGTGAGATTTCGCTGGACGAGCAATCTCAAACAAAATTAATTCTCCTGTCACCCCCATAGGAACTCACAGTCGCGGCCCGAGAAAATGAAACAACATCCCAATGAATTACAATAACACCCTTATTTCCATGCACAGGTGAGTTAATACCTTACTACATAAAAGGGGAGGACACATGGAATATTAATGAATTTTTGATTTCGCTCTAAAGTGGGTTTCTTCTGGATTTCAAATTCTAGTAATAATTTTATTATGCACTATTTTTCGTTTGTATTTTTTTCTTGTTCAGTTAAAATTTAATTCAGCAAATTTGTATTGGATACATAATCAAAATAAATGTACTGTGTAACACATTTCTTGACTTTTAACAATAGTGTCCCATTTTGACAAACATAAGGGGGTCCAAGAATTTTGGCGCTGTGTTTATTTTAGTTAAATATTTCAAGGAAAATGTTTCTGAAACATGGTATACATGTTAAATGTTACATAAAAGATTATGTTGTAAAAGGCCAACAATTAATGAAGAATTTCTGATTTGTAAGAAGACGTGATATGTAGTTATTTTATCTCATCCTATGTCCTTGTCCAGCCACCAGCTAGAAACAAGCCTATATTCTAAATAATTATAGATTTAAGTTGTCGGTTTTTGATATTTATGCGTTGTGCTGTTGGTATATGGGAAGCAGAATATGTTTTTAGAAATTGAGGTGAGAACTACATAAATAATGCACGTTTACGCATGAGTATTGGTTTATTATAGTTCATTTAAAACAATATTAAAAAAACTATTGTTAATCAAATAATTTGTATAAATCCTATTTAATTACCTATAATTTGTTTCAGATTAGTGCATTTAAAGAAATTGGTAAAAATGAAGTGCCTGCTTTGGGGCTGTGCCAGTAAAAGTAACATCCAAGTTATTCAACGTTTCCAGAATAAAGTATTAAGGAACATCGTCAATGCATCCTGGTACTGCCGCAATACTGATCTTCATAGGGACCTTAAAGTGGAGACTGTTGAGAATACCAGACAAAAATTTGCCAGTAGTCACTAACAACGACTGTTCCAACATGGAAACCTTCAGATTATCCAGCTTCTCAACAATGCCAATCTAATAAGAAGACCAGGCCTTTTGAGTTAGTTTAGTGATGTTAGATTAAATCCGAGTATATTGTGGTTGAGTAGAATCTTAGTTAATGAAGTTTTTTATCCCTAGATAAGTTAGGTATAAATAAAATTGCTAATTCATCTTAATAATTAGATTGTAATAATCATAAATGTTTTTTTACTTGGGGCATTTAATAAAAAACCTGCATTTAAAGAAATTGGTGAAAATGAACAATTCGCTACTATATTTTATGAGACATTGTTTTAAACTTATTTATTTATTTGTTTGTTTAAGAATCAGTGTTTGAATTTTGTCTATTTTAAATAAAAATGTGTATTTTTATATGTCTTTTTACAGTCTAATAATATTTTAGAAAAAAAACTAAAATACATTTCTGAAATATTACTATTTAATATTTCTAAAAGATTTTAAATATTTATTTCAGAAATATTACTGTAAAATATTATATTTACAGGATATTTTTACGTTTCATGCACATTTCAGAAATGTTTCTGGGATGTTTCGTAATATTTATACAACATTTATTACAAATGTTTCAATTTAACATTTTTGAAATATTTCCGAAATGTGTTTGTGCTGTATGAGTGTATGGGATGGTTTCTATAGACCTTGTCAGAATGATAGACATTGCTTTTTGTCCCAGTTCCTAGTAATTTCCGAACACGCAAGCCGCTGAAGTCCAGATATTAGTGCTCTCGCCTTTCCTTTGAATACCTATCCCTTTTGAAATTTCATTTTAAAAAAAATAATTAAAATTCAGAGCGTGACCATAAATAACTAATTTATAGATAATAATCTGTGATATTAAAATAATTAAAAAATATTCATTGTCACCGCCTAAAGTTGTTTCACACGGGAGCAATAATTTTAAAGAGAAAAATGTTTTAAATTAAAATCGAAATAGAAACGTTATTAGTATAGGTGTGTCTAAAAAAAAACAGATTAGTGCTATAATATAAAGTCTCTTTCACAATTTTAACATTATCGTCTTCAATATATTTCCTTTCACCGCTCCAACGTTTCCACTGCTTTTTCTTTTACAGCTCTACTGTCTCAAACATGGTTCCATTCAGTGCTGATTTGACCTTGGTGAGGCGAGATCCGATGATTAAGGTAGATTTTCTAATACAGGGATCTAAATATTTGGCCAAAATCATCTTGAGAGTGAAAAGTAAGCGGTAGCGTTGTTCTGATGAATAAATGATAACTGTTTTGTTAAAATCTGCTTTTCTTTTTCGATTTCTACGAATTCAGCAACATATCAAATGGCTAATCGAAGGATATTTCAGATCAACGCACTTGTAAAAAGGTGATTTGTTTGTTAGTTCAATCTTATCCTTTTTTGAATAGTTACCTTCGATGTAACACACCGGCTAATTCTGGCTTTGAAGTCTTGTAGATCTGCTTAATATCTAGATAAAGATTTTATAAATGAGTTTCTGGATTCTGAAATTAGATTATTCAGAGTAATTTCTTGGGTGCAACTTGTAAATGTAATAAATTTATTGTTTTTTTCACGGCTATATTCTTTTGATTCCTGTAGTAAAAATTAACCTAACACGGTCCGTGACGTATTTATCTCCACGCCTTGCCTTCTATGCGTCTTTCGGCCAATAATATTAATAAGAATATTTCTCAGAGTTATTTTAGCATGATCCAAGTGATGCCTACTTGGAGATATGTGATTTATACAAAAGCGTGCCATACAAAAACCGGTTGCATGCATTTTTTTTAGGTTGTGCGCTGTAAAATATTAGGGTGATGTAATGAGTGACGCGTGTCTAGGCTAGAGAGACCTGAAATAAAATAACTCCATATATTCGAATGGGTATCACACTTAACATTCTTCTGTCGTTTCTCCGCCATATTCTACAAGTTCAAGTAAAATTGTTAGTCAAAGCAAACTGTTTTGATTGTGACAAGTCTTCTGGCTTCACCTGCTGTGAAGTGAAAGTCGTGTGTGGCACTAATGGTGATAAATAAAATAAGGGCTGCCAACTGCCAAGGCGCCAGTATTGATAATCAAAATTTCTAAAGCCAACAAGAGTTCACAATCTAAGCGTCCTTAGCAGAAATGCAATATTCTGATTGAACATTGTAGCCAAATTTACGGAGTTTTTATAAGTAGTTATGCATTCGTTATCATACGAAATGTGAAATCTAACATGAGCGCAGTAAGAAAACCGACATTTGTAGTAGTAGTAAATCTGGGTTTTCATTCATTATTTTACAGATTTAACTCGGAGACTTGTTTGTCACAGGTTCTTCGGGTATTCCAAATAGACGATAAAAACATCAAAGTTGGCAGTATAACCAACAAGATGACAATATTACCAAAATTAATAGTTTGAATGCAATTATTCTCACTTATAATATTCCTAGTTCTAAAAATTTCCTGA